AGGTCAAAGAATGTTTGCTCCCCAAGCGGCTTACAAGCTTCTTTGCCTCACACCCCATCTCTTCATCTCTGTGTCTGTCTAATGTATTTCACTCGCAGATGCTCATTTCCTCACCAACATTTTAGCAAGAAAAATTTCAAACTTTGCATTGAAAAACTTAATGCCCATACTTGGATTTTTTTACCCTCGACACTGAACCTCACTTTTTTTTTTTTTTTTTCATTTATCTGTTCACTCAGACTGGATTGTATTTTGATTTTGTTTGTTTGCTTGTCTTTGTGATTGTATTGTATTTTATTTGTTTGTTTTTATTGTTTTGTTTTTTCAAGACAGAGTTTCCCTGTGTTATCCTGGCTACGCTAGAACTCTCTCTATAGACCAGGCTGGCCTGGAACTCACAAAGATCAGTCTGCCTTTGCCTCCTGAATGCTGGCATTAAAGGTGTGCACCACCACAGGCTGATTGAGATAGCATTTTAATTACAATATGTCTCTTTTCCTTTTCCTCTTTTCAAACTTCAAAGCCTCCCCTGAATCCCATCCCCACTCTCCTTCAACCTCATGGACACTCTCTCTCTCTCAATTGTTATTGCATGCATATATGTCTTTGTATATTCTTAAATATAATTTATTGAGTCCACATGTTACTTGTTTGTGTGTTTTCAGGACTCATTGTCTGGCACAGTGAAAGGATGGAAAATACAGCCTAACTCTCCAATGATCACAGGAAGCTAGAAGTTTAGAAATACTGTATCTAAGAAGCCCTAAATGCCTTAAATTCCTCTGCCAGTAAATAGGCGAAAGGTCACACTCCTTGCTGTTTATGGCAGCCCCTTGAGTATGTGATCCTGGTCTAGTAAGATAACAGGAAATGAGCTAACTAACCGCTTATCTGACTATGGTAAACTGCTTGTGAAACCCCCCCACCCCAGGGACCTATCCTAACTGCCATTTGTCACCCCACTTAGGAGCCCATGCAAATGCATACATCCAGGGCTATAGAAAACTGATTGGTCTATAAAGCGCGGGCTTGGATGATTTAAGATGATTGGTCTAAAACCTATAAAATGGTTTAAATTGATTGGCCTGCACCACGCAGGCTCTTGATGGTTTGGGATGATTGGTTTGCAATGTGCAGGCTTTGTTGTAAACCCTATAAAAGCTGTCTCGATTTACATTCAGGTTTCTCAGACCTCTACCTCTGAGTGGTGTATGACTGTGGACCCCAGTGCACTTGAAATAAAAAAGTCCTCATGCTGTTTGCATCAAGACCACTTCTCGTGAGTGATTTGGGGTGTCACCTTTTCTGAGTCAGAGCATGAAGGTCCTCAATCTGAGGGTCTTTCAACAGGGCAAACATTTAGTGTGCTCTTCCCTGGGGATGATCTCCACTCCCTCTCCCAGCTTTACTCGGGTTTCTGCTCCTGAATAAATGGTTCCAGAGCCATAAGGTGGGAGTGTTTTGTAGATATATCCATTTGGGAATAGATTATATTCTAACAACTTCTTTCTATGTATTTTGAAATTAACTTTTGTTAAAAAAAAAAAAGACACACTACAATCAGGAATGTCTACGGAAAACAGGAAACATTTTATTTAACTTTGTGTATATTATCATAGTAGTAAAAATAAAGTTAACAAAATAACTATTGTTCACAAACTATTACAAGTAAACGCATAATACCTCCTCTTCAATCTCTACACAACTGTACTGCAGTTTAAATACAAATTGACAATGAGTGGTCCCATAGAAATTATTTAAATTCCATTTTCTTGTCTGTCCAGTCACCATGATTACAATTGTTTTGAATCTTCTGTTTAAGTGAGGGAGTGTGCAGTCCTTCAGGAGTAAGTAAATGGAGACAAGCATCCAGCCTCATGTGAGCTAAAATGGCCCCAGCAGTTGAGGAACATATCCTTGATCTGGGCGTGGTGTTGTGTACTTGTACTCCAGAGCTTAGGCTACATAAGGAAAGAGGGAAGGGAGGGAGGGAGGAGGAAAAGTAGGGAGAGAGAAGAGAAGGAAGGACTAGAGGAGGGAAGGGAGGGAGAAGGTAAAGAAGGGAAGGAGGAGGGAAAGAAGGGAGGGAGGGGAAGGAAGGAAGGAGAAGAGGAAAGGAAGAAAGAAACTTTCTCTTAAAATGAAGATGTGTTTCATAGAACCTTCATCCAGCAACTGATGGAAGCAGCTGACCTGAGCTAATGGGAGCTCACTGACTCTGGACTGACAGCAGGGGAACCTGCACAGGACCAAACTAGGCCCTCTGAATGTAGGTGACAGTTGTGTGGCTTGGGCAGTCCTTGGGACCATTGGCAATGGAACAAGGATTTATTCCTAGTGCTTGCACTGGTGGCCTACAACTTTAACCCCAGCACTCAGGAGGCAGAGATAGGGGGATCTCTGTGAGTTCCTGTTCTACAGAGCTAGTTATAGGACAGCCACCAAAGCAATACAGAGAAACCCTGCCTTGAAAAACAAAACAAAACAAAACAAAAACAAAAAAAAAAAAAAAAAAAAAAAACAAAAAAAACAACAAGCAACAACAACAAAAAGTATCCCTTGTGCTTGAACTGGCTTTTTGGTGCTTATCCTCTTAGGAGGGATGTCTTGCTCAGCCTTGCTCAGGGCCTTGGTCCTGCCTCAAAGCTCTAGACTTCATTGACTTCCTATGGGAAGTCTTACCCTCTCTGAGGAGTGGCCAAGGGAGGAGGGGGTGTTGAGGGGTGGGATGGAGGGGGGAAGGTGGAGAGAGCAGGAGGAGGGGAGGGAGTGGGAACTAGATTGGTATGGAAAATGAGAAAAGATCATTTTAAAATAAAAAAAGACTTAAAAACTGAAGATGGGTCACAGATTTCTTGTTAAACACAACTGAACATCCACCAAATTAACTTCTATATTCACTCATTATTTATTAAAACATGAATATTAATATGATCATTTGATATTTAGCTATGAAGTATAAAACTCAATTGTGATATTAGTGATTGTTTAGATTTTAAATTAATCAAAAAATTTCCAGGGTGGGATGTTTTTATCACTGATAATTGTTGGAGTGATGATTAAAAAGAAGCCCGTGGTTGGCTATATAGTTATGACCTTTGATACATATAGTGTAGCATCTTATTATCTGGCTGCTACTTCTCCCACTTAGTCATGTCAAAAATAAAGGGATGTGTATTCATTACCTTCATATGATAAAACCCCAACAGTGTCTTGTGTGGGGGGGAGCAGTTTGTTTTAGTTTACAGTTCCAGAGGGAGAGTACATAAAGGCAGGAAAGGCATGGCAGCCTATGTGGCTAGAGCAGATAACCAAGAGATCACATCTTTAACCCTGTACTGAATTAGCGTGGGCAAAGTGGAAGTGAGGCAAGGTTATTAACTCTCAAACCCCATTCTAAAGGTTCCTTACCTCTTCAGTGACACAACCAGGGACTAAGTGCTCAAATATGTGAGCTTCTGGGGACTATTTCTCATTCAAACTGCTGCGCAAGCATGAACCAGTAGTAGGCTACAAAGACTGGTTTTATTGGGCATCATTGCAACAGCGAAAGAGATCAGAGTAGAATTGAGCTCAATTGCAAACACAGGAAAAATGGTTGAGTAGAGCCAATGAGCAGAGTGAGCAGAGTGAGGGTTAAGGAGGTAGAAAATGCTGAAAAGAGTTCATCAGCAGTAGAGAGAAGGAACCCTTGATGACTGACATAAGAGGTTCTTGCTCAAGGCAGGCTAAGACTCATAGAAACATAGAGAATGAATGTGGCTAAATATCAAGAATCATCATATATCAAACGTGTGGATTTCCACAGAATCACTTTTAGTGGGTCTCTTTCAAAACTGGGATAGACCAGTGAGGGACAGGGTCCAAAGACAAAGTCTAGTTAAAGAGAGAGCTCAGAGGAGCCTTGGCAACATTGGGTCAGAGATAGATTCTTCCCTAGGGACCACTGCTTAGTATGGATATTTTGCCTATATTAATTGAATATGAGTTTGTTCTGGAAAGAAAGTAGAATACATCAGAGTGAACCATTAAAAAGGCCTAATTTTAAACCTTCTAGTTTCTTTAAATTAGAAATCCTAAAGTATCCATCCCACTGATACCTAGATGTCTCAAAGAAAGATGTGTTAACTTGTGTGAGCTTTCTCTGCAACAAGAGGTATTCTGACTATATCTTTCAGCATTGCTTTCCCCATCCTTGGATCTGACTCAAATTCCTATGCAAGAGTTGGTTATAAGGGATTTATATCAGAAAGGCTCCTGGATTTTCTTAGGATCCAAGATTAAAGGGAGAGAGATCGAAGAAATCCTGATAGGTAGATTTCTAAGGGCTGGAGAGCTGAGGGCAGGATTATAGAAGGTTCCTTTAGGAACCTACAGGAGATACTAACAAGGCAGAAATGTAATGCCTTTTTCCCCCTTTGGAAGCAAGGTCTCTATATGTAGTTGAGGATATCCTCAAAATTTGGTCCTTCAGTTTCTTTCTCCCAAATTCTGAGATTAAAGAGTGTGTTATCCCATCCATTTTAATTGTTTGATTATTCTATTGTGCAATCTGGAAAGACATTTTAGTATAAACAAAATAAATCCCCCTCCGATAGTCTGAGCAAATGAGGTGGTCTTATCGACTTAGAAAGGTTTGAAGGAGGCAGTTAGAAAAAGCAAGAGCAGGGTGGCCTTTCCGAAACTAACTTTATGATGAGGACTCACAGAAGACAATAGGAAAATGTATATTTGGTTAATCTCAATCTTAATGACATGTATCCATGTATTTGCAATGTTGGGTTGTGTTTCTGGGAGAGAACTGAGCCCTTGGTTCATTGCAGAGTTAAAGTGAGATCCTTTCATTGTGGGGGAAACACTGGGTGCTAGGTCCCTTTAACTTTACAGTGAAGCAAGGAGACAGCTTCAGTTTCTGAACTGGACCCAGGGAGGTAAGCTGACTCCATCCATTCCTCTGTAAGCTAGCTGAACACAGTGACTGCCTCTCAATTCTTCTCAAGTGGGCATGTGAGGGAGTGAGCGAACACTGGCTGGCCTGCACACATCCTGGCATGGCCACACACAGAAGCCTGGAAATGGACAAAGAAAGCAGTGATGCTTCCTGCAAATCCTCAGACCTGAAAGTAAGTGCAGCTCACTCTCACCCGAACACCATGTACTGTTGACCCTGTTAGTGAAATACGTTCACATGACTGTAAAAACGAAGAGGACAAGATTAACACTTAATTTCTACACTACTTAGTGGATTTTGTGAACGTGAGCTTGTTTGGAAAGACTGTAGTTGGTAATTGATTACTGCCTGTTTTTAGAAAACTCCAAGGAAATTGTACTGATCTCTTGGTAAATTCCACTTTAAACTTTAATCAGTAGTGCTAACTGAGCCAGCCTGCAATGTGTTCTGGTGCTTAAAGATCCAGCTTGAGCCTTGGTATTCAACATGTGTTGGCGTTTCTTTTCTTTTCCTTTACTCTTTTTGAGTTTTGCTATGCATAAAAGTAGCTTGACACCTCACTGAACTCATCCTATGACAGTTTATTTTCTTTCCAAAAGAACAAATTCACTCTTTCAGGAAATCGCATTAAATGAAGTCTGTCTAGTTCAGTTTCACTATGAGAGATGCAAGCAGCATTTCATTCCAAGGGTTGACAAGGATGTTTGGCAAAAAGAATGAAGGCATCGTGGATAATGCAAAGTGTGCTTGGCCCCATATTATCCCATTAATTGGCAGGATTAAAGACTGGAAGACATGCCACTTTGAAGGAAAGCACAAGGAAGAGAGTGTGAGCATGAGGAAGCTATAGCAGAGCTATTGGGAGGTGACGCCATTATTTCTTTTTTCACTCTCTCTAAAAGAATGCGTGTTTAAAAGTTATTTCCTCACTGGAGTTTAGTTACCCTGACATGTATAAATCTCTTTGTCTAAGAAGCTAAACTCTCACATGCATTATTAAAGGATTCACAGCATCAGATGACAGAAGGTAGAGGGAAAAATAAAAGAGGAGGAGGGGAAGCAGCTAAATAATGTATTTTTCCTCCTTTCAAGCAATAGAATGCACACAAACCAGCAATTTTACCAACTTATGAGTCACCTACTTCATTCCTTTAGTTTAAAATTATTCTTTTATTTATGAGCGAGAAACTGAGTCACCAATCAGTTTAGTGGCTGTCAGTGACAAAACAATCATGTTGGCATCCCATCCTTCAGGTCTGCACAAATCACCACACCTCTTTAAGCTTTCTCCCTAGCCCAGCAGTCAGAAAGTTACAATGAGGAAATCAACATATTTCTGTGAGAAACTCACTTGCATTCTTATTTCCAATCTTGCCACCAGACAGAAAGAAATAATAAGAGTACAAGAGAAAAGCAGAATAATAACAAGCATCTGAGCCATCAAAACATCTGGGCACAATAATACATTCGTGTAATCCCAATACTTAGAATACTGGCAGGAGAATTGTGAATTCAAGGGCACCTTGGGCTACATAGTAAGATCTTGTCTCATAAAATAAATGTTCCCAAACCAAATCCCTTCTGGGAAAACAAAAACCAAAAAACACCCCAAAGAAATACTCAAAGAAGGCTGTGTCATCGGCATTTGGACACCACAGGCCTTTCCTCATCCCCAACCTTTAGATCTCTTTGTCTGCTTAGCTCCATGAAGTCAGGCCTCTGCTCATCTGCTTCATTCATTACGGTTGTAGAGGATCTGTCAGATGCACTCAGTTTTTCTTTTCTTTTTACATTGTAAAAGAAAGTGCAAGAACGTGTGCATGTGTGTGGTCAGAGGATAACTCTCAGGAATTGTTCTCTCCTGCCTTTGTGGGTTTAGGGCAGTGGTTCTCAACCTGTGGATCATGATCTTTTGGGGTCTGGCAATCCTTTCACAGGGGTCACCTAAGACCATTGAAAAACACAGATATTTATTATGATCCATAACAGTGTCCAAATTACAGTCATGAAGTAACAATGAATATAACTTTATGGTTGGGGGCAGGGATGTCACCACAACATGAGGGACTGAATTAAAGGGTCACGGCATTAGGAAAGTTGAGAACCACTGGTTTAGCGGAATCAAAGTCATGCTTGGTAACAAGCACCTTTACTCACTGAGCTATTTCGCCAGCCCTATTGTCTAGATTTCCTGAGCTCCATTTTGTAACTGAAAACTGTTACTGCACTCACACGGGCTTGACTGATAGATAGGCCTTCTTGCACCAATGTCTCCTGCATGAGTTGCTCCACTCACGCTTGAGATGACCTCTCATCGATAATTTGTTTTTTCTTTGAAAGATATCCAACATCTCCATTCAGGTGGTCAGTGTCCCAACGAAGCTACCGGGGAGAAGACTGCCTCGAAAGCCCATTGGCAAAGCCAGAAAGCAGCCCAAGAAGAGAGGAGCCCTTTGGAACGTTCAAAATAAGATCATTCTCTTCACTGTGTTTTTATTCATCCTGGCCGTCACAGCCTGGACACTTCTGTGGCTCTATATCCGTAAGTTAAAGTTCGTGTTTCTTTGGGAACGTGGGAAGTCAGGTTGTCCTCTTTCCCAGACAGACACACTGCTTCCTAGAATGGGACTGAGACTTTAAGGGGAAAGCCACCAGAACTGTCCTCCATTTCCCCTTTATCGCCATCACTTCCTTCCCATGGGTGGACGAAGGAGGAGGGATGAGGGATGGGAAGGGAGCTGTGAAGGATGCCTAGGGGGAGTTGACTCACTCATAAGTGTGATGCATTTGTAGCTTTTAAAAAATGAATGGAACACTAAGCTGTTTCATTTCTTCATTCCACCCACAGACTGTTACTAGGCAACCTTAAATTTCCGGCTCTCTGAACCCCCTTCATATAAACATCTTTGCCTCCCAGTTCTGGTTTTTGCCCCTGTAAGTATGCTTTTGTCAATCTGATTGATCCTTTGGGACAGATGTGACAACTAGGCTCTTTCTTATGGAGTACTTCCTAATTCATTCTGGTAACTATAGCATTGGTTGACTTGCATTGACATTCCTATTTTGTGTAATACATTTGATGTGAAATACACTTAATAGCATGTAAATGAAATGCATACCTGTGGTCTCAGCCCTGGGTTCTGACATTCTTATAGCTTTCTGAATGATAGTAGGTGGGAGTGTCTTTTGTTATTTTATCATGGTCTAGTTCTTAGTTGCTAATAGAGAACTTCTAAGAATATTGCTTCTTTTGTTTTGGTTTTTGAGTATTGGTAAGACTGCTACAAAGGCAGAGGAACCATATCATTGCCAGGCTGTATCTTTTAATTCTAGACGTCATTGGAAAGAGGAGAAAAACAAGAGATTAAATTCAATCATCAATGGTTAATGATTTAATCAATCATGCCTTCATAATAGGACATCCATAAAAATCCTCACAGATCAGGTTCCAAACATTCCTGAGTTGGTGAATTTGGCGCGAGGTGCTGTGTTCTAGCCTCACAGGGACAGCAGCTTCTCGGCTTAGGCTTGCCTAGACTTCACCCTGATGAAGTGGTTTGCCTAATGGTTAATTTGTGTTCTTTATAAAATCATATGTAATAAGCCATAAATAATGAGCAAATGACAATGAAATTTCTTAAGCATTATAACAAATGATCACAGCTGAGGGGGTTTGGGGAATCCCTGATTTGAAGAAGCAACATGGATTTTCTGGCATCTGTAGCTGACATCTGAGGCCAGGGAATTATTACAGGAATGAGGCAGTAACTGTGTAGTCAGTCTCTGTTACACAGAGTCATTGGAGACCCATTGCTATCTGCAGAGGACTGTAGAGTTGCTTGGTGTAGAGACAAAAACCTACATGTTTGGTGTCAGAAATGCTATGAGTTGAGAAGCAGTTTGCTTCTATCTGTTGTCAAGGATATTAAAATGTGATTGTAAGACAAGAGAATATTAGGTAAAGACTTCATGAATGTTCTTGAGCAGTTTAGGTCACTTGCTTATCCTTATAAATTGATCCTTAATAATTTGGCATAATCCAAATACTCTTGCAATCTTCAGAATGCTTATTGATGCATTTTCTACTTTTGAAAAGTCCACAAGTTGGTGCTCAAGAAAGGATGTGGGTTATGCTTTCAACTGGAAGTAATTATTTTGTAATTATAGGAGAGGGGCACCCAATGGGCCTAGAGATGGAAATGGGAGAAAGCCTTCAGAATAATCTCCTGAAAGTTCATTGGATACACTGTGGGAGTGCAAAGTGAGTTGATCTCTGTGACAGGCATGGGACAGACTGGTAAGCTAGGTAATATTTCTGAGTCCAAGGAAATTATACAATGACAGGGCAAGTGAAGACAATGGGTAGTGAAGACAACACATTTCACATGAACACAGAGTATTTATAACACATACTTTCCTGGCACTTCAACTGACATGTTTGCAATACCCTATAACTAAAGTTTTAGAAAAAAATTATACAGAAGTAGCTTATTTGTATAAATTACAAAGAGGGTCATTTAGTGGGAAACAAAAGAAAATTTGATTGAATAAGTTAAGAATTGCTCAATAGAAAACAGGTTATTTTTGACATATACAATTTGGTCATAGAATGAGGATTGAACTAAACAGTTAATCAAGGAAACTTGGAGCTAAAAGTGTTAAGTAAATATCATTGGATTTGATGCTAAATTGATCATTTTTGCATTGCTGCTGTTCTGCCCCTTGATCAGAGAAGGATGTCTGAGATACTTTAAAAATAATAATAAATGAATGAATAAATAAATACATAGAAATTGTCTCTGTGGAGAAACAAAACCAAAAGCAATTGCTAGGGAAGTGTCAGATCTAGTGAGGCACCATAAGGGTGAGGCAAGATGATCTACCAAAGTCAGAAACCTAATAATGATCAAAGCCCAACAAAGACCAAAATATGCCCCCTCAAAGCAGGCTTCCTGCCTTTATCATGTGTTCCCCATCCTTTCAGAGCCTCACTTCTTTGCTTTTGCCGGAGTGACCTCAAATAGTCTCTAGAAAAGGGCTGATTTCTTATCTCCTATAGATTTCATCTTTTAAATCCAACCATATTTTGTTGAGCCTCAGTTGATGACAGGTTTTGTGCTAGCAAGGGGATATTCTCTTTCTCATTTCTGCACCCCTCATCTTTTTCTTCCCCACCAAATGTCTTGAGGTCCAAAGATAAGCAAAGAACTTGCCATGTTTGGGGCTGAGATAAAACAATGGTTTACTGTGCATTCTCTCAGAGAGTTTGAAAGGGCAGCCCAGGGGTGGCTGCCACAGAGAATGGGGGTTGCCATGTCCTGTGAGAAGCCTGGCATGGCAGCATGTGACTGTAATTCTAGCACTTGAAGAGCAGAGGCAGGAAGATTTGGAATTCAAGGACAGCCTGGGCTCTCCTTTGATGTTATCTTGACAGATCAATAGATGGAAATATAGCTCAGTGATGATCACTTGGCTTCATGCACATGGCCTTGAGTTTGATTGCCAGCATTGCAGTAAATGCATGAATAAATAAATACATATTTTAAAACTCCATGGGGAGCTGTGGAAGAGGAGAGAGACCTTGGAAACGAAGAGGTAACTGTGGTCTGGTGATACAGTGCTTTCCTAGAAGGTGTTCAATCCCCAATATTGTGAAGGGAGCAAGAGGACCAGACTCCACTTCTCCCAGCCACTTCTTTCTCATGGACTCTGAGTCCACGCAGATGTGGCCAACCTTGGCTCCATCCATCTGCCAGCAAAGTCCATGCCCAGAAACTTAGTCTTATAGTTCCCAGAGCAGATTTGAGTAGGAGTGATCCCATGAAGAGCTGAAGGTCATGCTGGTAAGGGTAAGTGTTCCATATGTTGGGCAGAGCAGAAGCATGGCCTCACTACTGACAATTAGGCACCCATGTCAGCCAGGAGCTCAGTGGAAGCTTCCAAGAGTCAAGGGATTTCTTCTTTCATTCCCCCATCATGCTAACTGTACCCCAGACTGTGATGGTGCATGCTTTACCACCTTACAGCATACAAAAAAGGAACTCACAAAAACTGTTTATCTTCTTAACTCTCTAGAGAGATACTAGAACAAAGTCCAAGGGGTGTAGTTTTTACCTTCAAACCTTGCTTTTAAGTATTTACTAGTAACAGACAAGAAGTATAGAGTGTGCCAAGAGCGTCAATGATGGAAGAGATGTCAATAAGTCTGTTTTGACTTTCACAGGTTACGATATACTGAATGAAGTATGTATGCCTAAGATGAGATCACTTTAGGAGACTCCTGCCAACATGCATCAGGCATTGCTCTGATGCCACAATCTCCTCATTGCATTCGCTCTTGTTTTGCAGGTAAGACAGAGAGCAAAGATGCCTTTTATTTCGTTGGGATGTTCCGCATCACCAACATTGAGTTTCTTCCTGAGTACCGGCAGAAGGAATCCAGGGAATTTCTCTCCATGGCGAAGACAGTACAGCAAGTGGTAAGGCTGTGGGTGTGGCAGCAGGAGGGTGGCGCCTGCAGGAGCAGGGGTAGGGTATGGTGGGCTTCCTAAGAGTCTTAGCTCATGGAGTTTAGGAAACAGAGGGCAGGCAACAAAAAAGAAAGCTGCTGGGGGGTAACAGGGAATTGAGTTCATCTGGGCTTTAAAATAGAGTTGCATTTCTGACCTCCATTTAGTCCATGTTCACTGTAAGATCCAGTCACATTCTTCCTTTTCATAATGTTAAAGAAGAGAGCTTTTTCACCTTTGGATTTTCTCCAGTGTAAAGTAGAGAATATCATGTGATCTTTAAAATACTCTCCAGTTCTGAAGTTCGATACCGATTAATTTTGTGATTTCTGCATATTTATTCCAGCCTTATAGTGGCCATCTCTTCTCTTAAAAAACAACAACAAAAGAAAAATAAAGAACAAAAAACAAAACATCCTTTTTACGCAAATAATAAATATTATTAAAAAAATTAGTAAAATTCAGAAAAGTAAACTTGCAAAAAAGACTACCAGTTTTTCAATGTTGTTTTCAGAGACAGAGCCCTAATTCTGCCAGGACACCAGAGCCCTGCAATGCTGAAGTATTAGCAGTTATTCTTATAGTGTGATAATTTTCTCCCAATGTTGCATCTCATGATGCTGGTGCAAACAAATATTCTTTTAAAAGTAAATGTTAGTAGTCTCAAAGTTAACAAATTCTCTCTTAATGGATGCTTACATCATACATAATACAAAATCAAAAGTACCATGAATTATGCATGTTTCTGATTACTTCCCTAGATGATTCCCTAAAAGTATCTAGAAGAAAAAAGTCCATTCAGGGCTCCTGGAACAGAGTGAGCATGAGAAGGTGTTTGCTAATTTGGACGTCGGCAGCAAGGCAGAGGGGTTTCAGGGACCTCGCTGCAGTGAGAAATGGGTTGGAGAATGAATTTAGCATTAGAAAAAAGAATCGAGGACAAAGAGTATCTCCTTTGAGAGCCAATTATGAAGTTTTGGGCCAGCGGGCCTGATACAGTTGGCCTGACCATGGTTACCACACGCCGCCTTGTGGCTAATCCTGGAATTTGTCCTTGGGAGCATCCAGATATGGAATAGGCAATACAATACATTGGGTTAACTATGGAGGAAATTAATATTAGGGATTGGAAGAACTCAGTAGTTAAATTTGATGACAAACTTTAAAGACAGAAATAAATGGGTAAGAGTAATTGATGATTCTTCACTGCAGAATAAAAGTGACCCAAGGATTGCTTCAGAAATAAGGGCTTCATTAAATTCAGGAGCTAACCTCTGGGATTGGAGTTAGATGCCTTTGGTTTGAGGCCTTTGCTTTCCCCACTACTAGCTGTTGGAATGTGGCCCTAGGGAAACTGAGGTAGAAAGAATTAAGATGATCCAATCTCTTTATTTTCAGGTAAACCTCGTTTACACAACATCTGCTTTCTCCAAATTTTATAAGCAGTCTGTGGTTACAGATGTCAGGTAACACCTGCCCCTTGTTCTGGGATTCTTGCTATCCTTGCTGTATACCCTGCTTATAGGCCTGGAAGGACGGAGGTTCCCCCACTCAGACAGAATTTGTTGTTGGTGATCACCCCATTAGGAAAACTAATGACCCAACTGTCTGCCAGGCTGTCACACCAAGTCTGATTTTTGTCTACCAAGTCTGCCTTCCTCCATCTAGATGAAATCCCGATTTCAATATCTCTGGAGAAAATGGTCACAAACATGGCCACCATGGGAGAGGGTGACAAAGGAAGAAGACACAAACCACCACTTTCCAAAATATGCCCAGTGACAAAGTGGCCACTAGAGATTATCTGAGAAAAAACAAAAAAACAAAAACAAGAGTCCCATGGTAGAATGACAATATTTTAGAAAAACAACCATGCTTTGTATACAATAATCACATTTCTCTTACCCTTCATATAACTGCAGAGACTCATAACTCCAAGAACATAGGAAAGGTACTGAGAAGCCTGGGAGGGAATCAACTAGTTTTCCTTAACTTCCATTTCCCAAGTTACTCACTACAGATCACCACCATATGTTCCTACCATAAAGCATGTAGTATTTGAACAACCAGGGGTGCAGAGTCTGTGGTCAGTTTCAGAAGAAAACTGGACTCTGCTTCTAGCTCCACTGTATATTAACTGTGTGATTTTGAATGCACATTTGTTGTTAATTGTCACATCTGCAGAACTGAAAGATTAGCAGGTTAATTAGACAAAGTAGATGGAATGCTGTTCCGTCTGCTGTCCATCTGCTAAGACACATGTTCAGATACAGAACTGAATTATTTTCAGCGGACAGCGACTACTGGTTGATGGCTTTAAAAAGAATCTCTGTGCAGATGAAGCTATTCAGTAACGCTTCCAGATTCGAATCCAACACAGTGATTAGAACACACATCTAACACAGTCATTAGAATGCATGTAGCATGACAGTTCCTTTTTCCAGTCTTTCTAGCAGAACAAAAGACAACCTACAGAAGGAGGTGGTTAGGTTCACTTGAAGGGTGTTCTCAGTGGCCTTGAGTCTGTCACTTTCTATCTTTTTGGGAATGACTACTTCCTAAGATACATCCTTGAACACTTTCTCTCTCTTTTTTTAACTGTAGTAGTAACAACAAAGGTGGTCTCCTGGTTCACTTTTGGATTGTGTTTGTCATGCCACATGCCAAGGGCTACATTTTCTGTGAGGAATGTGTGGCGGCCATCTTGAAGGACTCCATCCAAACCAGCATCATAAACCGCACCTCTGTGGGGAACCTGCAGGGTCTGGCTGTGGATATGGATTCTGTGGTACTAAATGGTGATTGTTGTGTAATTCTTCTTTAAGCATTCCTTTCTATAGTACAGACTCTTCTAAAACCCCAGGAGCAGAGGGCTAGCTCTTGCCTTAAATTCTTAAAAGTGATACACAGTATGAGTGAAAAGTAGAATTGTGAACAAAATTATATTTATTAAAGTGTGTTCCTTCATGTGTTTATTAGCCTCAGGCACCCTCAAACTAAAGTCCCTAAAGAAGAAAGTTCTAGAATAGAAGAATTGTATTGAGGTTTATCTATCTTTTCTTTTGTCCTGTTTTATGTGGCTGGGGACTGAAAGTTTAGTTCAGTTCCTGGATGAAGTGGGGAAATTAGAAAGAAGGCTTCCTTAGGCAAAGTAAAGAGGGGGGAAAATAGAAGAAAGGTCACGTGACTACTCTGAAGGGAAAATGCCAAATACCATGAAGAGACAAGGTGAGCACACAGGGAGGGAAAGGAGAACTGGCTGTCCTGAGTCTTTATTAAAATTACATTGCAGTTTGTATGTATATCTGTCCATACCATGGCACATCTGTTTAGGTCAGAGGTCAACTTGCGGAAGCTGACTCTCTGTCCCATAAGACTCAAGTTCAGGTCACCAGTACTGGCATCAAGAGCCTTCACCTGCTAAGCTATTTTGTTGGCTCCTGACTTTGGAGGTCAGGGTGGGGTCAGAGTGACCCAGATTTTGTGTGTGAAAATGAGCCTACATATGTGAAAATCAGACTCTGTATTTTGAAGCTTTTGCACATCTGTATTTAGTGTGGGAAATACTTACCTAAAGGTTGCATTATATGTACACCTGCACCACATGCAATTGAGTGGGCCAGATGCCTGCTTTTTGCCCATACAGGTCTAGTGCTCTTTGTAATAGTTTGTAACAGGACACAGATGTGGCCTAAGAATTAAGATGTGTGTTTGGACAGGATGAAAATAGTTAACTATGCTTCTTTATCTTCTTTGCCTTATTGAACTAAGGAGAAAAATATGCAAATTCATTGCATTGCCATAACTCTATCTATCTATCTATTTTTTTTAAACTTTGCACTCAGTTAGAAGCTGGCTAGAGGTTTCCTACTATCTCATGAAAGGCCAGCCTTTGAAAACTGATTCCCCTCTCTCCAGCCAGCCCTATTTCCTAGTGCCTTACCTACCCCAGTGTTCCCAATCAGCCCCATGGAAACACAATGGCACCATTTGTCTTAATAGCAAAACATTGTATTATTCAAAATTTCTGCAGCTTTGTCTTTTGATATACATTTTTGCATATATAAATACCAATTATTCATATATTCATATACTATACATAGCTTATAGCTGATAATTTGTTTAAACAAATGAAAACTCTCTAGTGGAAAATTCCACACTATATTTACATCAGTCATAGGAGTATTATTATTTATATGTTGTTTTCTTATCCTCAAGTTGTTTAAAATTTGTAACTGTGAATGCTTAGAAGCAACTAAAATAGTATGTTGAATTCTCATAGATCCTCAGCTTCAGTGGCTGTCATCTCCTAGTGGCTCTGTTTATCATTAAATACCTCAATAACTCTGCTCCTCACTGGACTACTGTGAAGTATGACCCATATCAGGTTTGATGTGTTTGATTATTTTAAAGAAGGACCTTAAAACCTCAAAAAACAAATAGCAACAACAAAAAAAGAAGGACTGAGAACAATTTTTCTAAACAAATGAACCTCTGGAACTAATGGTCTTCTTTCTATACTGTTTCAATACAGCTGGGCTCCGGTCAGACTACTCTTCAACCATAGGATCGGGTAAATTCATGAACTTTTTTCTTTACCCCTTACTAGTGTGTATACATATGGGCTACACTTTGCCTTTTTTAACGATGCGATCCTTTAATGTTCTTTTAGTTGCAAGTGACAGCAATATAAGTGGCTTCAGCACGAAAGAAACTTGATTGACTGATATATTCCATAGCTGAGACAGATATGGAATATGTTGGCTTTAGGCATGGTTGGAACAAGTTCAAAATGGAATGCTGGCAAGACTCCATATCTCTATCTTCTTATGTCGAGGCTTTGCTCTCAAGCACAGCTTCCATTGTGGTAGCGAGTCAAAGCTTAGGCTTGATCCTATTTCTCAGTTGTAGTGGAAAACTCCTGTATACAGATTTCATTAAAATCTTCATAGAACTTCTGGGCTGATTCGCATTATGCCGATTGACAGATGTGCCCCTTCCTAAACCAGCTTCTTTGACTGGCCAGTGTAGTCATATGTCCCCTTATGGGATCAGAGGTGAATTTAACCCCAATGAAAGTATGGGCTAAGTAAGACAGTTTTCCATGGTAATAGGGTTTGTCACTAAAGAGAGGAGCATAAAGTCTAGACTGGCAAGGAAAGCAAATGTCCTCCATATGACAGTATCTGCTCTTTTGTAGCGATTTCTAGAGAGGTCATGCTTAAGAGCAGGATGGGGTGGGGAGAGTAGATAGAGGGAGAGACAGAGAGACAGAGAGGCAAAGAGGGGACAAGACTAAGGAAAGCCCTTTCTCCACAGACAAAGGCTGCTCCAACTACTTCTATGCAGATCACTTGACTCTCCGCTACCCTCTGGCAATTTCTGCAACCTCAGGACAGCTAATGTGCCACTTTAAGCTAGTGGCTATGGTGGGTTATCTAATTCGTCTCTCAGTTGAGTCTATCCAGCTGGAAGCTGATAACTGCATCACTGACTCCCTGACTGTTTACGACTCCCTCTTGCCAATCCGGAGTGCCACCCTGTACAGGTAAGATGCATGCCCGCTAGCTACCTGGTGAAAAAGGTTTTCATGCAAACTGACCCCTGATACCCTGACACTTTAGGTGTCTGTCAGATTTTGTGTTTGTTGTTCACTTACAGTACACAAGACCCACAACATCCACAGAGATAAGTCTATTGTATCAATAGAGCATGAGAATACTCTGATGATTTATATCACATTAGACAATTAAAAAATTCTTTAATTACAAAGGTGTTCATTGTAGAGAAAAATTAGTTCAGAGAAAACAATAGCTAACTAATTTACAATTTCATTCTCCAGAAAATTTCTCTTACATTTTCATATAAATCTATTCATTCATATATATTAAATATACAAGCACTTACCTATATCTCAATTTTAAAATTGAGAACTTAATATTCAATAAACTAATGATGACAATTAAGTTTTATGTAGGCACTGTATTAAAATGTATGTGAATTATCTTATTTTAACCAATTTTTACATTTATCACATGCTTTGTTTGTGTATATATGCATTTATATTTTTGTGATAATGTACACTTTAGAAGTTCAAACATAATATATAATGTCAATGAAAAGTAAGTTCATTGCTCTCTCCCCTCAGTGATAGTTAGCTTCTTCTCATCTTTCCATAGACATGGAGCTGTTATCTTATTTTGATCTTTACTACAGAGTAAAGATCAAAATGGGATAATGGGGCCATGTCAGTACAAGTGTCACTGTTTCATGGAAAGAACATGGAATTTATATATTTGCTTGACTATCCAGCATCTTTCATTTAGCTGATCTATGGAGCCAAGCCATTGCAAATATCTTTATATCCTGTTTGCTCTCAAGGAGAGCCCAAGGGTGGCCATCTGAAAAAATTCCTTGGTAGTTATTACTAGACAAATGCTAAGCATCTCTTCCAGATATATTCTATCTGTAGAACTCTATGACTATTCACTGATGAAGGTATAACCAGCAGAGACCGAATCAGAAGAACTGAGTGATGGCTCTGGAAATGTATGAGATGGTATAGAATGGAGACCCATTGATGAAACAAGCAGTTACTCATGTGTTGCTATTTGGTTGCAGAATCTGTGAACCCACAAGAACACTAATGTCATTTGTTTCCACAAATAATCTCATGTTGGTAACACTGAAGTCTCCTTATGTACGGAGGCTGTCAGGGATCCGGGCATATTTTGAAGTCATTCCAGAACAAAGTAAGTCTTCTCCAATTTAAACAAGTCACTTGCAATACTCCTGAAGATGCTGTAATCTTTCTGTCCTGGGCTATCTTGTGATATTAGTTGTGCCAGTAAAAGAAGTTGTACTGGACAGGAACCCTGACTCAGAAGAGAGGCATCATAGTAAATTCAGTAAAGAACTGTTAGCATAAAGATGTTGATTAGGTAACTCAAAGGGGAAAAGGAGATTTGAAAGTGTTTTTGGAAGAGCAAAGAGAAGGTTGGGACTAACATGATGCAGAGCTTGGAGGAAGGGGTCTGTTGTTCAAGCTCTTATTTCTTAGCAGGTGTTACCACTTACCTGGTTCTGGTGTGTGTCTGAATCCAGAACCATGCTTTAAAGAAAGTAGTCATATCCTATAGGTCTGGAGCAAAAATGAGGATTGGAAAACATATAATGTGAGAAAAAATATGTTAGCTGTATAAACTGATCATATGACCACCCTGTGGTATGGTTAAAGGATAGAATAGAATGGAATAGAATAGATTAGATAGGTAGATAGATAGATAATAGATAGGGATGGATATATGGATGGATGAATGGATAGATAGATAGATAAATAGAAAGATAGATAGATAATAGATAGATAGGGATGGATGGATGAATGGATAGATAGATAGGGATGGCTAGATAGATAGATAGATAGATAGATAGATAGATAGATAGATGATATATAACAGCTAGAGGCATCTGGAAGAGTCCAGAGGAAAGAAAGTAGCTGATGGCCAGCAGACTGGACCTGGTTACAAGAGAAGCAGGATCAGAGTAGAGAGATAGAGAAATGGAGAAGGAAGGGAGGGGGAGACACACACACACTCTCACACACACATACACACACACACACACACAGAGAGAGAGAGAGAGAGAGAGAGAGAGAGAGAGAGAGAGAGCGTGAAAGGGGGACAGAGAGAAATAGGTTATCAGGGGAATGACTAGCTAGAGAAATGGAAACCGGTGAGTTGGGTGGGGATGAGCTTAGGGTAGCTGAGGAGGTTAGAAGAGCTAGGATAATAGCAACCCTCCAGAAATCCTCCTCTAGTCACACAGAGTCTATTTCTGGCTTTCTGAACTACATTTTGGAGTTTTGTAAACCGGGGTGTTCTTTCTTTGAAGAGATCAAGATTCAAAACTATGCCAGTTCATTGGTCAAGTAAATATACCTGTGTAGAGAAAGCATGAAGCCATGTCCTTATCTCATTATGGCGGGTCCTTGTGTGTGGATCCCTTCTTTCAGAGTGTGAAAACACGATAGTGGTCAAAGACATCAACAGCTTCGAAGGGAAAATTTCAAGTCCGTATTACCCAAGCTACTATCCTCCGAAGTGCAAGTGCACCTGGAAGTTTCAGGTAGCCTAGATCTTCTTAGTAGTATCTTGGGGGGAAATTGTTCTATTGTAGTAAAATACATTTAAATCACTTTGTTTTTAAATTCTAAGACTAATACCATTTAATGTTAGGAGATATAAATCTTGTTGAAATATATTATCTGAAAAGTAAAATTTTCTATTGTCTGTATCCTCTGCTGTCAAGCTACATCCTGTCAGCTGATTTGATCTTATTTCTCTACTTTATTTTTATTTATATTTTAAGATCTAAAGGTATTGATGCAGGATTAAATAATTATTTTATTATAGTTAGTATGATTTCAGAATGGACTTTAATAAAAGAATTAATTTGATTAGGTTATTTACATTCAGTATGTAAGCAAAATGAAAATTTATATGAAATGTATAAACCTCCCTCTGCTGCTTGTCAAGGCGTTGCTCACTGTCTTAAATCTTGGTCTCACAGCTGCTTTTCTTTCTCCTACTATAATAGCACATGGAAATAGAAAATGTTACTATAGCTCACATAGAACATACAAATAAAATCATTAGTGTGTACCACCATAATTGGGTTAGATGTAAATGGTAAATACAACAGTTTGAACTCATCAATATGTCCCTTGGACCTGGAACTCAAGTACTAAAATAGACAGAAAATATGAAATTGAAAAATTAAATTAGACTTTCATGGGACTTTCATGTACCTTCCAGTAGGGGGAGACTGGTGACCTCACAAGCTACATAAACAACGAGTCCTCCTTATTTGTGGCTTACACATCTATGGACTCAGTTAATAACTCCATCGAGTGTGTATCTGTATTGAGCATGTATAGACCATTTTACTGATATTGTTTCCTAAACAATAAAATAAAACTGCATTTTACAAAATTATTGCATGACACTATCTATTATGAACAATATGGATAATTAGATTATGTGAAAGGAGTGTGTGGGTTGTACATATTCTATGCATTTTATGTAAGGGACTTGAGTATCCATGCACTTAGAACACACACACACACACACACAATGCATAACCAAAATAAAATAACTGTCAGAGCAAAGTCAATGGGTAAAATCAATCTAAAGAGAAATATAAAAGGATTGAATTATAAAGTATTTCCTACAACTTCTAAAAGTAATTTCATTTTATTAATCTCTTCATCTACATTGCTTCTGTCTCTCCCTCTCCACTGCATTTCCTCCTCTGTTTTGCCATGTCCCCAGCCAGAGTCATGTTATTTTCTTTTTTTTTTTTTTGGTATTGTATTGTTGTATGTATATCCAATTACTGAGTTCATTTAGTGTTGCTCATGTATACCTATGAGGTTAATCCAGGGCTAATCATTTCAAACTGGACAGTCTGTGCAGGAGCTCCTCCATGGAAAAAAATTGGTCTTTCCTCTCTCAGTAGCTACTGACTACTGTGTAGCTCCTCATCTAGGGACAGGACCATGTGGAATTTCCGCTGTCCACAATAGCCTGTCAACTAGTATTGTCAGAATGCTGGTTTGTTCAGGAAACCATATGTTGATATTTTGTGGCTACATAGTGTAATTTTAGGGACACTATCTAGCAGCAACCATACTGGGCCTCTGACTCTTATAATCTTTTCACCACCCTTCATCAGTTTTCCCCAAGCCTTTGGTGTAGAGGCCATGTTGCAGATTTATCAGTTATAGTTGGGCACCCCGCAGTCTGCATTTTGACCACATATGTCTATGTAATAGTCTTCATCTTTACAATAAGAAGCTTGGTTGATGAGGAATGAGAGCTATACTTATCTGTAAGAGTAAGTATTTAGAACACAGTTAGGAATTATATTGATGTAGGAAAATGATGGCAGTCAATTCTGTAGGACATGTGACCTCACCAATCATGAGTAGTTTTCTAGGTTTACAGTATCAGGCATGATTTCCCTGTTTTTCATCAGGCCTTTCAGTCAAAATAGACAGCTGTTGGTAACCTCAAAAATAAAAATATCACCATTGCACTAAGGGCAATAACCTGCTGGGCTAGATGATTTTGTGGTTCAGTCTTATACCTGGGTAGAACTATTGATCGCTTCTCTCTCTTGGAAGCATGCTTAGAACTTTCTAATGCTTTGAGCAATAGCTCTTAGACAGCAGCCTTCCAGGTCAGTTCCAGTTCAATTCCCCTAGGCCCTGTGTCTGAGGGATGTGTTTTCATCAATAATAGGTCTTACCTTCAAGTTCTGAAAGGGAATCAAGGGCAGTGGAAATAGAACATATTGTTTGGGGAAACTGGTATTCCTCTGACCAACAACTACAAAGGAAGTTTTCCATGCCTAGCAATGGAGTTTTTGTTATATAGTACATGGTCCTTGGGAGGAGCACTCTCATCTCATGTAATGTAATCCTGTTTACATACATAAACATATATATATGTATATATATACAAACATATATATGTGTGTGTATACATATATAATATACATATATATTTATGCACACATATCTGTATATTTTGAGTGAACTTATAAAATAATGTTTCCCTATGACTTTTCTGAATGTCCTTATTTCCCCTTCTTCCCTCTTCCCTACATTATCCTTTCTCCCATCCCCATTTTTCCATTGTCCACTTGATAGCACCTGTTTCCCCACAATCCCCCTTTCTAGGATTCCTCCTCCCCCTCTCACTATGGTATATCTCACCAAGGGCTACATAATACAAAGAGTAGAATATCATTAAAACAATAAGCCAAAAGAATGAATACTGAGCAAGCAAGGACATTTTACCTTGACGCATGCTCTTCTACTGAGGCATTTTTCTGACTTGATTTTGCTTTTGCTTTTCACAGACTCTGCTAACAACTCTGGGCTTAGCCCTGAAGTTCTACAACTATTCAATAACTAAGAAGAGTATGAAAGGCTGTGAGCACGGCTGGTGGGAAATCAATGAACACATGTAAGTGGTTTTCCTATGTGTGGGATCATATGGAAAGTTCTTTGTCCTCTAGGAGTCTTCAGTTTCCTGAGAAAAGGAAGCCAAGGATAGAGGCATTCAGAAACATGTATGTGGCCACTTGGAACCTGTGGTTATAGCAAAATTCAGACCCTCATCCTCACACCTGTGAGCATATTCTACATCTTACAAAGGTATTTTTGAAGTGTTCAAATCCTGGAGCCATTGGGAAAAATAACCAGAGCACCTCACTCTGGAGGTTCAAGAATAAAAGACTATTAGCAAAGTTTACATTGTAGCAGAGGCCTAGCTGACCAGGCTATATCCTAGCACTGGGAAATGGTTGACCAGAAAGAATCTCAGACATAAAGATGCCCAGATTCCTGAATCCATCATGGAGGTTCTATCATATTGTTATCTCTTAACTTGTTCCTTAGATACTGTTGTTGATTTGCTCCTAAACCTATACAACAGTATTTAAAAATGTAGCTGTGATCTGTCTTGGCAGAATAACTTCTCAGCCCACCCTCAAAGAAGCATCTTGTGAGTTAAAGGACTTTCCAGGCAATTCTTTTCTCTTTGTTATTTCCTGAATGAAAATTTCCCTTCCCAAGAGCCTCCCCTTCCTCATTTCTTTCTATTTGAAAACAATTTTCTTCTCTCTCTCTCTCTCTCTCTCTCTCTCTCTCTCTCTCTCTCTGTGTGTGTGTGTGTGTGTGTGTGTGTGTGTGTGTGTGTGAGTGTGTGTACCCATGCTGACATTCTGGAGGTTGATATCAGCTATTGCTCTCTGTCACTCTCTGCCTGCTGTATCTTTTTGAGACCATGTCTAACTGAACTGGAGTTCACCTTCTTTTGTTTGTTGTTTGTTAGTTTGGCTGGCCAGTCAGGAGCAAGCCTCAGTGATTGTCCTGTCTTCACATCTCCAGCACTGAATTACAGATGTTCATGGCAGCTGGATTTCTACTTGGGTGTTGATATTCAAACCCAGGTGTTCGTGCTTGCACAGCGAGCACTTACCCACTGAGCCATCTGGCCAGTCCTCTAAGAGGTTTTCTGAACAAAACACCCTTTTATTTGTTTAGAGAGATAGTATGCAAAGTAGTCATGCTTCTGTTTCCACTGGAAGAGACCTATCTGAATCCCATCATTGAAACATGGCCTTTACACATTTTTGAAATACAGCCTGAATCAAGTAACTGATACTATTTTTGGTTCTCTCTCTCTCTCTCTCTCTCTCTCTCTCTCTCTCTCTCTCTGAGGTAGGGTCTCTATATAGCCCTGGCTATTTTGAAACTCACTATGTAGATCAGTCTGGCCTTGAACTCACAGTAATATGTTTGCCTCTCCAGTGCTGGGATTAAAGGCATGCACCACCATTCTCCAGTATCAAGTATCTCTTATATAGGTTCAAATTCAAACCTTGCCTGACTAGGAAAATATTACCCCTTTTGATTACAGTTATCTTTAAACTTGTTTTTGTTAGCATTCAATGAAAAAAATGCAAACTATGTCAAAAGTTTGTGATACTTGCCTTTAATTCTAACATGCCAGAGGCAAAGGCAGCTCCAGGGTAGCCTGATCTACATAGCAAGTTTCAGGCTAGCTATGACTAAACAGTGAGACTTGCTCATCTAAAACAAACAAACAAAAAATAAAATAATGGTCAATGTGTCTCTGAAGGTTTAGGAACACTGCACTTGATATATAGTGAAAGTAAAGATTCTGAGCATACACTGTTACCCATCTTTTGTGGAGCTGTGAGCCTAAGAATGAACAATCTGTATGGCCCTTGCTGTCCTGAAATCCATTCCGTTGACTAGGTTGGCCTTGAATTCAGATTCACCTGCCTCTGCCTCCTGAGTGCTAGGATTAAAGGTGTGTGACACTACCTCCCAGCACAAACTGTGCTTGGAAAAGGAGGGAAGACTTTCCCCCCTCATAACAAGTACAATCCAGGCCTTTTTGCTTCAAGTAGAAGAGTCTCCTCCCAACCGATACCAGGAAAGCTTTTCCCTGAAGTCCTGAAACAGAGGTTCTTCCTACAGTCCTGTAAACATGTGGAAGTCCTATCAAACTCATCTGATTTCCACTTGTCCCCTCAGGATGTAAGTCCCCAGCTCTGTCCATACCAGTCCTTTTCATGTAGAGAAGAAAGGCTCTGCTTTGTATCGTCAAAACTGAGCTGAGAAATGGGTCAAGGCAACATGGGCTGTAATGGGGAAGCAGAAAACAAAACAAAACAAGAAACCGATGTTGATGGGAAGAATTCCAAGGTCTCTCTGAAACGTAAGACAGCATGGACAGGGTATTTGTATCCAGCGAAGCTGAATGCAGTACTGGAATCCTAGAGTAGTGAATAATGGCCTTTGTACAGCTCTAGCAAAGCAGGCCTTTGGTGTCTTAGAAAGTGCTAGAGTCTAGCATCAGGCCAACTTGTGCACAGATTCTGGGTCAGTAGAAATATCTTTGCTGTTTGAACTTTAACAAATCTATTTACTTCATTATGGTTCCCCTTCCTTGTCATGAGTCTGCATACAGAGTATAAACGGACGCTTACTGGTTTTCTTTGCTCTCTCACCTTTTACACTTCCAAGCTGTTAACCACCCGCATGTCCCACAGCGCACTAACCATCTTCCAACTCCAGCCCAAGCATGGGTGCAAAGGATCTTGGCTCCTTGATCCCCTCCTTAGCATGTGTGCCAGTTAATTTTCTTGTTGCTACGACAAAATGCGAAACAGAAAGAAGCAAGGATATCGTTTAGCTTGAAGTTCCAGGGATTTTAGTTTGTTGTTGTGATGGACGAGACACTGTGGTAGGAGTGCCTCAGCTGGTGGGCAGAAACGTGGGGCAGCCTGGCACATTGCAGAGGCCAACCAGGAAGAAGGTGAAGCAGGTGCAGGGGTGGGGTGGAGTGGCGTGGAGCCAGGATAATGTACCCCTTAGGGTTCTACCCCTAACTATCTACTTCCAGCTGGACGGAACCTGTCTCCGAAGTATTTACAACAATATCACCATCCAAGGACCAACTATTTCAACTACCTGAAGGAGACCCTTCACATTCAAACCATACCAATACACCCAAGAGGAACTTACCTTTGCAAGAAAATTCCAGATGCCAGGGGAGGGCATAGCCATTTCTTCCTGGTGTCCTAGTAACTGACTATATCCTCTGACTTCCTGAATTTCAGCCAACTGCCAAAGGCTATTGGATAATACAGGCTCGCCTTTATTTATTATTTATTTATTTATTTATTTATTTATTTATTTATTTATTTATTTTCTTCAAGTCTTCAAAGTAGTAAATAGTGATTCTGAATGCCAGCCTTGGGTCAGGAACATAAGCGGTTCCCAAATGCCTTGGGAGTCAACCGTGCTTGGCGTTCGCAGGTGACCACTGCCTCAATTCTTGTATCAGCTGTTTCCCATAGAGACTTGACAGGTTTCACACTGGAAACACCGCACCTACACAGGGCAGTAAACTAACTTATCTTGTTGTAAAGTAATATTCTACACTCCATTAACCACAATGCTCACATAGTGAGAATTATTAACTAGAGTGACATTTACTCAAAAGGATCCTGGGAACCCTGCTCACATGAAATGATGGGAAGTAGAGAAAAAGCCAAGGTAGGAAGCACTGTGGATAATTGTTACTTCTTTGAAATGTTGCCAAGGACAAGCCCCAGGGTGCATATGAGATTTCAATTAAGACTGAATTAATGCTGTTTTCTTTTGTCTCAACTGTGGGTGAGATTATTTGCATATTTTGAGGCTGAGCTCACAGTTCTACTCCACTCTACAGAGAGATTTATGGAGAGGGGTTTATGGATAAAAACAGGCCATTCTTGTTACTTATTTTTGACAGTAAAAATATGAAAAGTAGAATTTGATCCATTGTTCTGTTAATTTTTAGTGTTGGTTAAGAAAACAACAGCTCAACAGTACTGTGTTTGTCTGTTTAGCAAAGGAGAAAAATCTTACCACATCACAGTCCCACAACACAAAGTAGCTGTTATTCTTTTTTTAATTATAATTTTTTTCACTCTTATTCCAGTTCCCTCTCCCTCCCTTCCTCCCTCCTTCCCTCCCTCCCTTCCTCCTTCCTTCCCATGCCCACCTCCCACCCCCTCCCCCCACTCCACAGGGAGGGGGGGATGTCTTCCAGGAGAGATCAACAAAATCTGTCAAGTCATTTGGAGCAGGGACTAGGCCCTCCCTCCTGCTTCTAGGTTAAGGGAGTATCCCTCATGGGGAATGTGCTCCCAAAGTCCTTTTGTGCACCAGGGATACATCCTGGTTCCACTGTCAGAGGTCCCTTAGACTGTTCAGGGGGTCTGAGTCAGTCCAGTGCTGGATTCCCATCTATCAGTTTGGGGGCCCATTAGCTCCTCCTTGTTCAGGTCAGCTCTCTCTGTGGGTTTTTGTAGCCTGGTCTTGGCCCCATCTTATCACTCCTTCCTCTGCAACTGGATTCCAGGAGTTCGGCTCAGTGTTTAGCTGTGGGTGTCTGCTTCTGTTTCCATGAGCTACTACATGAAGGTTCTAGGATAGCATGTAAGTTAGTTATCAATCTCATTATCATGGAAGAACATTTAAGGTAGCCTTTCCACTGATGCTCAAATTGTTAGTCTTGTAGGTCTCTGGACATTTCTCTAGAGTCAATTTTCTCTTCAAACCTACAATGGCTCCCTCTTTTATGGTCTCTCTCTCTCTCTCTCTCTCTCTCTCTCTCTCATTCTTAGCTCTACCAGAAGCATCTCGGAGCCTGGAAGACAAAGCATCAGTGATGTCCACTGGCAGGACATCATCCTATGGGACCTCATCCCACATGTCCTCCCCGATCCTTGTCTTCTCAGGTACTGTGGCTCCTACATGGATCACGAGACCATTTTCCGAGTGCCCAGCCCCTTGGTCCACATCCAGCTTCAATGTAGTTCCAGACTTTCAGACAAGCCTCTTTTGGTAGAATATGGCAGCTACAACATCAGTCAACGTAAGTTTGGAGTCAGTTTAGAAAACCTACTAAGCCTTTAATGATAAAGCAAGGCCAATCCTTTACTTCAGGCCTTGAGAATTTAAGGAATTAATACTGCCTCATTTTTGTTATTTGCTATTATACATGTATCTTTTAAAATAGGCAAGTAATATGCACTACAAATAATAAAGTATTCATCCAAGTATATATTAGTGTTATATTTTAAATTATAGAAAAAATAACCTTTTGATATTACTGACTTAGAGTTAAAATGTAATTTTTCACATGACTTCTAAAATAAAGGAAAAGCCCATATTTTGCTCTTTCTTTCTGGATTTCTTTCCCTCATCCTCTTCTTTCTTTCTCATTTCCCCTCCTCCCCCCTTTGAAACAAATTCGAACTGTGTAGCCCTGGCTAGCCTACGTAGACCAGGCTGGTGTTGAACTTGTGGCAATCCTCCTGCCTTGGTGTCCACAGTATTGGGATCACAGGTGTGTGACACCATATTCATCCTGATGTTTTTTGTGCTAGCCATAACTCCTTGTGATCATAGTGTTTATACCAAAATACAGTGCATCTGTGAGTGGCATTTTGTATTCTCTTTGGGGGACAGTGACTGGGGAGAGAGCGTTGGTTGAGATGCTCATAAGTCAACTTTTAGAAAGTTGAAATTTGTATAAGAAACCACAGAACATAGCCAGGAAGTGGTCTTGGGAAAGGTGACAGTTGGCAGAAGTTGTTGAAGCTGCAGAGGGTAATCACTAGAGATATTTCAGACCCTTTTGAAGGTGACAAACAAAATCGATGAAGTGGAACTTCCACAAGGGTATGGTGTGAGTAGAAGCTTCTTTCTACCTTGTTCTACTCTGCCAACTCCAAACACACCTGCCTCTGGATTCAGTGCTGCATTCTGATATTCAGAGTGTTTGAAATTCCAGTGGGGACACAGGAGAAACAAAGCATCTTAATTGCTAATGGTTTCACACACCCTGATGATGGTCTAGCACACCATCCACTCTTCTCATTACCACTGAGACAGAAGCTGACCTGATGTGTTTGCCTCTGTTCTTTCACAAGAGAGGAGAAAGGATTTATTATTTCTGTAACACTCATCCATAAGCTCAGGCTCAATGGCTTGATCTTTAATAAGTAGCCTGGTTAAGTTGGAAGAAACAATGGGCAGTGGGAGAGGAGGCAGGTACTCTGGGCTTTGAGAGTAGGCATTGGTCTTACTCTGTTCAACTTCTGTAGCATTAATTTGCTGATATTCTTGGCTTATTGAAATTATGCATTAAAATTGACCATAGTCTTGGTTAGATGGAGAAATTTTATCATTGCTTCCATTTTTCTACCAAATCCCTAACCAACTAATATTTTACAATTTGTTGCTAAGGTAGTCTGATGACTTTTAGGAACTCAGTCAAGATTTTCTGTTTCTTTTATCTTTCATTCTTTTTTTTTTTTAATTGCCTATAGCTTGTCCTGCTGGAACTTTTAGATGTTCCTCTGGTTTGTGCATCCCCCAAGCCCAGCGCTGTGATGGAGTAAATGACTGTTTCGATGAAAGTGACGAACTTTTCTGTGGTAGGTGTACTATGACCTCATTACAAATCAGTAATTTCTTGGGATCTTTGCCACTGCAGTCTCTGTACTTTCAGTAGGTCACTAGATTTCCCACAACTCACTGGCTTAATTAGCCCAATCATTTTTTTCTTGATCATGCATTCATGGGTTGCATAGATTCAGCTTAGTTGGGTGGCTCAGGTTCAAGCACTGGGCCATTCTGTGCTGAGTCCTTCCAGGTGGGGATCATGGTTGTTCTTTATAACATTTTCTTTCATTGAGCCAAGGAGCTAGTAGTAACAAAAGCAAGGAAAAGTGAACAGAAGCACATGACTCCCCATAAGGCCTGTCCTTGAAAGGCTTATATCATATTTCATTGCTGAGTCACATAGCTGAGCCCATATTCAAGAGGAAGGGAAATTTACCTTGCATACCTTGGGGTCTAGGTAAGGGTGATATACATTACTGCAACCACAGGGACTAATGTCTTGTGGCTAATGACCTAATCCACCACAATCCTATGTGAAAACACAGATCCTTCGCCCGGACAATCCAGACTCTAAGTCCAGTGTAGTTGCTTATGGTGGGCAAAATGGATAATTCAGCTTAGTTTTTATTTTTTTCTATTATAGCTACTTAATTTTTTTATATTGAAAAAGTTTTTTCGTGTCGTATATTAATTAGTGTTTACCCCTCCCGTCCGGTTCCTCTCAGATCCTCCCCACCTTTCCACCAATTTCACCCTCTTTCTCTTTCTTTAGAAAACAAGCAAAGAAAACAATGGAAAAATGGAAAAAATAAGAAGCGTGCGCACATGTGTGCACGCGCACACACATACACACACACACAACCCATAAAAACACAAAATCGGAAGCAATAATATACAATCAAAAGACTGGTAAGGTTAAAAAAAAGAGAGAGAGAGAAAATTACCAAGCAAAGCAATAGGAGAGAAAAAATCTGCACAAATACTACCGAGTTTGTTTTGGTTGGCCATCTAGTGCTTGGCATGGGGTCAGCCTTTATGTGTGGTTAATGTACTCAGTGAGAATCCACTGAAGAAAAACACTTTTTTTCCTTTGCAAGCAGAAGTCAATTGGAGATAACTTCTTGGTTAACTCGTGTCCTTCCCATTCTAAGTGCTAGGATCTGATCTGGCTTGAACCTATGGAGGCCATGTGCTTGCTGCCACAGTCTCTGTGAGTTCATATGTGCCCCAGGTCCCATTGTGTCTGAAGATACTGCTTCCTTCCAGTCCTCTGGCTTTCACAGTCTTTCTGCCTCCTCTCCCACCGACACACTGATACCATGCTGGCAGTGACTGAGGGATGGATGCAGGACAGTCCTAGTCTAGGTGGAAAATGTATATCTTGACTTCTCATTGCTATTTGCAACCTGCTTCTGAACTTATTTCTAGTTTCAGGGAATAATATATAGAAGATAATTTATTGGACGATATAAAGTTAGTGGCAATGTTTTTTTTTCCCCAGTGTTTACTCATAACAGTAATAGCATCTGATTTTTTGCTTGTCTTTAGACAGACATTACACTTATTATATTACAACTATATAAAATTATGTTCATAAAAATAATCTGTGCCTTTATGGTGTGTGTGTATGTGTGTGTGTGTATGTGTTTGTGTGTTACTGGGATCATGTGTAGTGCCTTTCATATGCTAGGCAAGTTCTCTACCACTGATCTACAGCCCTAACTCCTTTGTATACTTTTAAATTAAAAAAATCTTCTTAGTTTATGGCTTATTAGTGGTCTAAACCTATAAAATATTCTAATTCCTTTCTCTTTCATTTCCTTTTCTTTCTTTTTTCTCCCTCCCTCACTCCCTTCCTCCTTCCCTTCCTTCCTTCCTTTTTTTTTTTTTTTTTTTTTTTTTTTGAGACAGGGTTTTCAAGCTCAAACTCACAAGACATCCACCTGGCCTCCTGAGTGCTGGGATAAAGGCATGCATCAACATAACCTGGCTTCTATTTCTTAAGAAAATAGATACTGGAAATTTTTGTGGTTGAAGGTTCCTTTTTTCATTACTGTTCTTTGCTCCAACTAAAAGCCATTGCTATTACTTTGTAAGGACTAATGTTTTACTCAAATTTCACGGCATCAATTTTAAAGCTATCCTACGGATGTCAGCTAGGTACTGTTGGAGACAACCAACTATTTCAAGGCAACAATATACTTCTCTCACCCTTCAGAAGAGCTAAGATGAGAAATATTCTGGTCACCCAGGGAAGAGAGTAAAACTGCTAAATTTCACAATCCAGAAGTCACTGAGAAAACATCCTTCTAAAGGAGCTTGCTGGTACACTGTGCCTACCAATAATTCAAGAAGAATGTCAAAGAGGAATCAGTAGTGTTTAGGAGGGTAGGCAAGTTCAAGTCAGATAAATGCTGATGAGAACTTCTTTTCTTAGACAAGGGTTACTTATGTTAGGCATGGTGAAACACATCTTTAATTGTATCACTCAGGAGGCAGAGGCAGGTGGATCTCTTTGAGTTCAGGGGTCATCCTGGTCTGCATAGTGAGTTCCAGGTTAGCTAGGTTACACGGTGAAATCTTGTCTCAAAAGTAAAACAAAGTATAATTCTGTATGATGCAATGAGTTAAAGTTTAAACACACATGATAGCAAAAGCAAGATCTGACAAACACTTACATAAGGAATAACATCAAAGTAAGGAGTTATACTAAACATCTGCTTTCTTCCACGGATATGACATTTCAAGAAAACATACTCTATTACTTTGCCATGTTAAGATTCATAAGAGGACATTGTTGGTCATCAGAGAGCCCAGCTGATGTCCTGTGCTCATAACTTTTTTGTCTCTCACCACAGTGACTGCCAAACCTTCGTGCAATGCCAGTATCTTCCGGCAGCATGGCCCCCTGATCTGTGACGGCTTCTGGGACTGCGAGGATGGCCAGGATGAGCAGAACTGCACTAGGAGTGAGGAGGACACACAATGCTCCGGTCTTTCTGTAGAACCTCAATGAACGAAACAGTTCTGGTGCATCCAGAGAGATCATCATGTCCTAGTTTCCCCAGACCGTTCTCAGTTTTAGCCTTGCTATCTCTTGTTCTGAGAATCCTATCCATCCAAGAAAACAATGATGTATCTGCTCACAGTAGGTGGGGTGGATTTGGATGTGCACATGTGCAAATATTGGCACATTTTTGTGGTTATACTTGCTTTTCATGCTAGCTGAGGTCAGACAATGAAGGTCTGTGATAGAGGAGCCTGCCAGACACCATGAGGGTACCTGGTAATACCACTACAGGAAGTGAATCCTATAGGTTGTGAACAAATGCATTTTAATTCAGAGTATCTCATCCTTATTTCTCCCCTAACAACCTAAAAGGACTGCTTGTGGTGTGCTATGACATTTTTTCCTTCTTGGAGAGTAAGACTAGGCAATAGCTAAGAGGCCACAACCCAAGGCCACTGATACGGCCAACTTTTTTACCTGGTGTGTCATGGCATAGAGAGGCAGTTGCAGTGAATCTCAGCTGTGTGCTAGTTGCCTGTCTTCCAATGGAGCTGCTTAAGTAAAGGGAAAGTTCTCTGTGGGGTGCTCCCACGTTTCTCTGCCAGCTTTTTTCCAGAGCAGAAAACAGTGATGCTGTGATTAATACCTCTTTTTTGCAGAGTTCCATGGCATTCTCTGAAATCTGTTTCTGACCATGAACAACAACAAAAACCAAAACTGTTCCTTCTTTTTGCTTGTTTTTAGGCATCCCATGCACCAACAGGACCTTTAAATGTGGCAACGACATATGCTTCCAGAAACAAAATGCACAATGTGATGGGATAGTGGATTGTCCAGACGGAAGTGATGAAGTGGGCTGCAGTGCGTAAAAATGGCTTCTTTTGATTCACGTATTTCCCCTTCCTTTATCCACTGTCCACTTTCATCGCTTTAGAGTACCATTCCTCAAGCAGAAGTTGCTATGGATCTAGGAAATAACAAAGCTTGTTGGTGAACTGAATCTGACAATGTTCCAAAGAAATAAAAACCCTGAGGTTTGTCCCATCTTCCTTCTTGGTAATAGGGTTAACACACAGGATGTTTTCTAGTAATCCCTATCAAGGGAGAAATCACCTGTGTGTAAGGCAGTGAAGCCTAGTGGATAGCTTTTAGTAAGATGACCCTCTGTAAGAACAACACCAAGATTCTTTATGCCCTATGTTCTCCTTAGTACTGTGACATTTAATTAACCATGAGGCAGCAGGGTCATGCTACACCCTTATCAGTGCCATTTATACCAGAAAGCAACGGCACCGATAACTAAGTTTTCAATAGGTGCCCACGTCTTCAACTTACAAATCTCTCTTCCAAATGCCTTCTCTCAAATTAGCACAACTTCAAAGATATTACCAATTATTTTCTGTTTGGAACTCCCTGTTTCTTCTCCACATGGTAACTCCATCCACAGCTGTTTATGTCAGCTGTGTTACTACTCCAGGACCTCCTCCCCAAGCATGCAACAGTGTGTAGATGCCACGTCAGGGCACGCTCTCAGAAGCAAAGGAGTGGTGCTGTGTTGGCGCTGGTCCCAGACAGACCTTTAGATTTCCTCTCTGCTAGATAAGCAGGAGATTTCCAATTGATGACTTGATGAGTCAGTCCGAAACCCTGCCATACACGTGACTGAATTTCCGGTTCTCTGTGTGAGTTTCTGCCTGCTTTCCAGTCATATGACCCTTCCTCTCTCAAAGGCTGTAGCAGGAGTTCTTCCTCCCTCCACCGCATCGTTGGGGGTTCTGACTCCCAAGAGGGGAGCTGGCCATGGCAGGTGAGCCTCCACTTTGTTGGATCAGCCTACTGTGGTGCTTCAGTCATCTCCAGAGAGTGGCTTCTCTCTGCAGCCCACTGTTTTCATGGAAACAGGTAGAGCATCCCAATATTCACCCTCAAAACTATACATCTGACCTCCAGTTTTGGGAAAAAGCTTCCTAGTGGAATCGATCGATTTAGTTGGACTCCTTTATGTCTTTGGGTGGGGGTAACCAGTTGTACACCATTTTTGTTTTTACGTATCAAAGGAAGCGCCAAGGCTGGATATGCTTTCCTTAGGCTGAGGAAATGGAGAATGGCTTTTAAACCACAGGGGCAAACCTCAGTCAGTGTATAGCATATAGAGAAGGGCAGTATTGGATGATGGCTGGAGAGCAGGGACGATGGCTGGAGAGCAGGGATCTCTTGTGGATGATGCAGAGATAGCAGAAGTTAGGATATTGGAAAGGACTGGCATCAAAAGGGCTCTTTTGACTTTGTCAATGGGGTTATTATGGGACAGACAGATTCCCCTTTAACTGGGGACAAAGGCAAAATTAAAAAAAAACAAAACACCTCACTTAAAACTTATAGATAGGGGCTGGAGAGATGACTCTGCAGTGAGGAGCATTGGCTGTTCTTCCAGAGGACCTGAGTTTTGTTTCCTAGCACCCATGTGGCTTACAACTATCTGTAACTCTGGTTCAAGGGTGTCTGGCACCCTCACATAGACATACATGCTGGCAAAACAACAATGCATATAAAAATAAATAAATCTAAAACCAAAACAAAACTACCCCCTCCAAAGACAAATAAAACAAACAAAAACACAAACCAAAACAAACCAAAACAAACCAAAAAAAAAAAAAAAAAAAAAAACAAAAACACCCTTAAACCTATCTGAGATCTGTTTGATCTTAGGTAAAGCAAAACATCAATTAATCCAAAATTTTAAGAGTATTACAGAGAAGTTACACAATTTGAGTCTTTGCTTTTACCGGAACTTACAGGATTCATGTTAATTACTAAAGTAGCTTCATCAATAAGTGAAATAACTGCTCCAAATATGTTAGCCTTGGAGTCTTTGGATCTCTGGTACACTCAGGAGATGTTTTCTTGGCAGATGAATGCAAGCATTCTGTGGACCATGTCCTTAGCTTACTTCCAAACTGTCCATGTTCTCCAGACCCCTATTCTCCCTGGCTACTACATTGATTCTGTGGGAGACAAACCCTTAGAAGGGAGCTCCAACCCCTCTCAGGTGAATTGGCCAAGGCCTGAGCAAGCAGTACACTGATCTGAAAAAAATTCTAATAGCTTGCAGGAAAGTATTTCCTTGATGCTCTGAGGCTTACAGCAGTTGAGTGTCTAATCTGTTAATAGCCATTTCATTTTACTTTGGTAAAAGGGCCACCAAACAATACCTTACTGTTCTTGTGTGTCTATACCATTAGCATAATTAAAGGAGTATAACAAATTAATTGTAGCCACCCATGTTCTTGATCTGTGTGTGGTTTGTGAGACATCAGAAGGCAAGAAATTTTTGAAGTATTTTCTCAAAATACCATTGAGAGAATTCTCTGGGATACCACCATAACTCACTACTACTCCAATAGGTTGTTTCATTGCTGTGTTTAGCAAGGAGGGAGGCTATGGTTCTCACTATGTCCCTGAACAGAACCAGGAGTGAAGACAGAGCCAGGCAGTAAGACCCTCCTCTTCACATTCTCATGGCTCAGTAAGTACTTGCTTCCAAACAATTTACTAACTCTGTTTCATTCCTTTTCTATTAGGCTGTCTGACCCCACTCCATGGACTGCGCACCTTGGGATGTATGTACAGGGGAATGCCAAGTTTGTGTCTCCAGTGAGAAGGATTGTGGTCCACGAATACTATAACAGTCAAACCTTTGATTATGACATTGCTTTGCTACAGCTCAGTATAGCCTGGCCTGAGACCCTGAAACAGCTCATTCAGCCAATATGTATTCCCCCAGCTGGCCAGAAAGTACGAAGTGGGGAGACATGCTGGGTGACTGGCTGGGGGCGAAGGCATGAAGCAGGTGTGTATGAATGAAGGATCATGCCCCTGATCTACAAAGGAAAGGCATCTGTGCTGATCTTGTGATTTGGCCCTCCCAGAGATGATCTGAATATACTGTCTCAGTGAAGGGCCTATTTTTATCTGCGTTTTGTGATCTATTTACCTGCCCCCAAACAAGCAAGACTCAATTGATAGAGGGTGAGAGGAATTGTCTGAGCAAGGCAGGACTGGTCAATATGGGCCCATTTCAAACTCTGGGTGCTAAGCACCCCACTATAGGAGAGCAATTCCCTTTCATTTTTAGGTTTCCTTTTCACCTAAAGAAGTGATTGTAAAAGAGACAGCACACATGTGAACACCCTATTGCGTCAATCCAGACAACTGTCTGGAAGGTTATGTAAGTGGGTTTCACACCAGGACTATTGATCAAGAGATAGGAGTGAAAAAGAAATCCAACCAGGACACACCCCAGACTGCAAATTCTGATCCAGGCATCACAGCATTCTAGAATCAGTCCACCCAATGGGAATTACTTTTTGCAATTCCTTCACATACCTGGAAAAGTCAGGCTGTATGCTTGGGAAGCCCCTCTATCTAGCTTGCCCAGGTTTCCCCTGGTTCATGATTTGTAGCTGAATTTAAAGATACAGCAAGGAAGAGAATCCAAAGCTGTTTTGAGTGTTTCCCCAAAGGGTTAGCACCCACCTATTTCTCCTGGAATCTCAGATCCCTTTGACATCTTTTCCAAGGGGAAAGGGCAGATACAGTACATGTAACTTTTCAGTTTACCCCACAGCTTTGGTGTGATACTCTAAAGATTCACTGTGGTGGTTTCTTAGAGTCTCACTACCCTTATGAACTTATTGAAGTAATGGTATTTACCACCAAATGCAGTTTGCTGAGGTCAAAGAATCCCAAGGAGGGATGCTAGCTATTTGCACACTTCCAACTCTGCTTGTATGTTATTGTGCTTGGTGATTTTATTATCTTGTCTTGGCTTGCTTTTCTTTTCTTCCTTCCTTTTTTCCTTCCTTCCTTCCTTCCTTCCTTCCTTCCTTTCTTTCTTTTTTCTTGAGACAGGGTTTCTCTGTGACTTTGGAGGCTGTCTTGGAACTAGCTCTTGTAGACCAGGCTGGACTCAAACTCACAGAGATCTGCCTGCCTGTGCCTCCAGAGTGCTGGGATTAAAGGGGTGTGCTACCACTGCCTAGATTGACTTGCTTTTCTATTGTTGTGAGAAAAACTTTAACAAAAAGCAACTTTCCTTCTTGAGGAGGAAAGGGTTTATTTCAACGTACTGTCTATAGTCCATCATGAAGAGAAGTCAAAGCAAGACCTGGATGCACAAACTGAATCAGAGACAACAGAGGGCAGAGGCTTATTGGCTTTCTTTCTGTTCAGGCTTACGTTTAGCTGCCTTTCTCATACTTTCCAGGACCTCCTGCCCAGGGATGATACTGCCCACAGTATCTGAACCCTCTTCCATCAATCATTAATTAAGAAAATGCCCCACAAGTTTGCCTACAGGTCAAGCTGATGGGGGTATTTTCTCAGTGGAGGTCCTTCATTTCCAGGTGACTCCAGCAAAGCCTAACCAACACTTCCATCATCATCTATCACTAGAGCAAGAGACGACCCACCTCACTCATTCAAGATGCTCTCTTGAAGAGCATGAGTGTATATGTATGTTTTTTGATTCATTAAAGTCAGGCAAGTTAGAAAGGAAGCCACAGAAAAAGAAGTCAGTTTTAATGGCTCCTTTGAGATTTCCATACATCAATTATGTGTCTCCTTTTGAGGAGCCCTCCTGGATGGAAAATGCTGGTACTAACTAACAGTTGCTGGTTCACAGGCCTACAGAGCACAGTGGCTCAGTGGATAAGGTGGTGAAACCAAATCTTTGGCTGTGTCCTGATGTTACTTTCTGGTTGTATACCATTGAGCAAGGCTTCGTTTCTTTGGAAGCAAAAAGGGGCTAATAGAATTCACCTCAAGAGAATTGCTCTGAGGCTGAAAGGATATAACCTGAGCTGATTGCTCAAGTGAAACCTGGAAGAAGTGTAATCCTTACCATCTCCATGATATCTAACCCCAATGTGTCTCGCAGATAAGAAGGGCTCCCTGGTTTTGCAGCAAGCAGAGGTAGAACTCATAGATCAAACCGTCTGTGTTTCTACCTATGGGATCATCACTTCCCGGATGCTCTGTGCAGGGGTTATGTCTGGCAAGAGCGATGCCTGCAAAGTAAGTCTTCCTCCTTCCTGTCACTAACATGATGCACTTTCCATAAATGTGTCTACATTTCATCAAACAGTCCTGAGACTATCAAGGGCAGGCCTTGCCCTTCTTCCATCTGAATTGCCCAGATACTAATTATAATTCAGTCACTTAAGACCAGGAAAATATGGAGAAAGAATGGGTTTAAAAATTACCATTCACTTATGAGTGAGTATATACCATGTTTGTACATCTCTCTCTGGGTTACCTCTCTCAGGATGATTTTTTTCTAGTTTCATCAATTTGCCTTCAAAATTCCTGGTGTCCTTGTTTTTAACAGATGAGTAATACTCCACTGTGTAAATATACCACATTTTATTTTCTTTTTAATCCATCCCTTGGCTGAGAGACATCTAGGTTGTTTCCAGGATCTGGCTATTGCAAGTAAAGCTGCTATATAGTTGATCAAATGTCCTTGTGACTGAGGATTCTTTGGGTATTTGCCCAGAAGTGGTGTAGCTGAGTCTTGTAGATTGATTCCCAGTTTTTTGAGAAACCACAATACTTACTTCCAACGTGGCTGTACAAGTTTGCACTCCCACCAGCAATGGAGGAGTTTTCCCTTTGCTCTACATTCTCTGTGGGACTCCTAAAGGAGGGAACAGGGGCTGTGTTAGGCTCTTTTACTGGCTTCTGGGACCCTATTCCTCATACTAGATCACTTTGCCCAGCCTGGGGGAGGTGTTTATTATTACTGCAACTTGATGAGCCATGTTTTGTTGATGCTTATGGGAGACCTGCCCTTTCCTAATCAGAACTGGAGGAGGAGTGGATTGGGGGGGGGAAAGACAAGTGGGAAATAGAGCAGGGTTGGGGGAAGGGACTGGGAGGAAAGGAAGGTGGAGAAACTGGGACCAGGATGTAAAATAGACAGATACATAAATTTATTTAAAAAAATAAAATATACAGAAAAAAATTCTATCCACACACAGACAAAAATGATTCATTTTTGTTACTTGTTCTGTGAGCACCAAACTATTCCTGTTACTCTGATGCACAGTCTGGGGAAGGGAAGAGGAAGGAGGCCAAGACAGAGCACACTCTGTTCCCACGGTTGCCCTGGGAACGAAAGGGATAGTTGTAGGTTACATTCTGGGGACATTACCCTGAGACTTTAATTCCAATTTGTGCAGATCCCTCCATGATCTACACTGAGCAAATAGATGATCTGGGGCATAAGGAGCATAGTGGGCCTTTCCCACATCTTGCCAACTTCAGTTGCAATGCCAGAATCTCATCTCGTTATAACGATGACTTCCATCTTCTGAGATTTTTATCTGGTAGCAATTACTGGGCAAGGTCCTATATATAAATTCATTCATATCATTCTTTTATCCTTTTTCTATAGCAAAACATAAATAGAGTCTCCCCTTCCCTAAGTTGTACAGTCAGTAGTGTGAGTATTTGGGTGGGATTGGAAGGAACCCTTTCCTTTCTTAATACTAATGTCATTACACTTTAGGGGCTCATTGTGGCTGACAAACTACATAGTTGTGTTCTACACCAGCACATAGGTTTGGGTGTTAAATTAGACTTATAGAGCCAGCAACAATAATAAAGACCTGGCTTCCCTACTACTCAGAATCTACAGCACTTTCTGCACTTTACATCCAAGCTGTAGGTTTACCCACCCACCAAACCAGAAACACAAAACTCCAGATATTACACTTAAGGAGCCCTGCTGTAGGGATTGGTTAAGCCTTAAGTTATTACAGTGTTTGCTCTGTGGAGCTGAGACATTAGAGACAGTCTCAGATGAAAACAGTTGGCAGCCAATGGCTCCCTTGATTGCTTCTTCAGTGGACCCAGCTGGCCATGCCTTTTCTTCTTTCACCCAGGGTCAATGAGCCCACTGCTGAAGCTGAGTGGTCCACAAAAGGAAGTCAGTCTTCCAAGATAACCACGGAGTTTTTATGATGATCAAATGAACCCAGGCACTGCTGGGCTTATAGCCAACACTAATTAGAAATCAGCCCCTGCTATTGCTACTATTTTTTTGCTGCTAGTAGTTAATTCTTTGAGGGTTTGTGAGAATTGCTTTCTCTTGCATAGTGGTCACACAAGCAAAACCATGTCAGAATGAACACAAAGGATTAGACACATAAATGATGGACTTGGAGCTCATGAGACACATGCCCTCATGTTTACATTATCTTTTTTGTGTAGGGCGATTCAGGTGGACCCTTGTCTTGCCGAAGAAAGAGTGATGGAAGATGGATTCTGACTGGCATTGTTAGCTGGGGTCATGGGTGTGGAAGACCAAATTTTCCTGGTGTTTACACAAGGGTGTCAAATTTTGTTCCCTGGATTCATAAATATGTTCCTTCTCTTTTGTAACTGTACCAGTTGAATTTTTCACTGTGACTTACATGATAGATTCTTGAAAAAAATGTAAATATTATCAATAAATTTAATCTTTTTTCAACTGGAAATGCCAGATTGAGCACACCTGATATATGTTGCAAGGTAGACAAATTAATATGTATTACATAAAAATTCCCCAAGGATATAATGATCTTCATCCTAAGGTATCAAAATGCTATTGACTCATGGATGGAAAAAAATTAAAGTTATGTCACAAACCAAGCTTGTAAAATGAAATGAGAACTATGTTAGGTGTCCTTCCTATGTGTTCCAGTGCAAGCAGAGATGCTTGCAAGGGTTGAGACAAACATGCCACACAGCTAAGAAATGTCAGGGAAGCCATAACTGATGTTAGCATTCTCACAAAACTCAACGCACAAAATAACGGTACTTCACAAACAGATATAATGCAAAATGTGGTAACTGACAGAGGAGGAAGTGACAAAGTTGCTTTCCACCCCAATTTGTTCTCCCAACATCATGCTGGATCTTGGCTGCACAGGGGCATGTTGTACACAGAGAAACTGATCCACCCCCACACAGAACTACAGGTTTGCAGCCTTCACTTAAGTGATAGAAAGCAGTAAGGTACCACCTGTGCGATCCTTGATCTTCATAAAGGTGATCAACAGTGAAAGGCTGGAGACACTTTTGTGAGTGTTCTGAAGGTCAACCTTTTCAAGTATGTTATCTCCTAGCTTTTGGTTGTTTTTGTAACTTTTTTAAAAAATATTTATTTATTTATTTATTTATTCATTCATTCATTCATTTTTTTGGTTTTTCCAGTCAGGGTTTCTCTGTATTGCTTTGGAGCCTGTCCTGGAATGAGCTCTGTAAACCAGGCTGGCCTTAAACTCACAAAGATCTGCCTGCCTCTGCCTACGAGTGCTGGGATTAAAGGAGTGTGCCACCAATGCCCTTTTTTTGTAAAATTTAAATTGGCAAGGTTTTTCTTCCATTTTCAAAGCTTTGTAATGCTTTGAATAGCTGTAAATCTATAGAACCTGCTCAATATGTTCCAGTTATTGATTTAGTTTAATTTAGAGGGTTTCTTACTACATCTTAGAATATTTTTATTGTCAGAGTCCAGAGTTAACCATAGCACCAAACAGATAAAACAGAAAAAGAAGAACATTATTTTTTCCTGAAACAAAGTCAAAGGTGAAATAACAATATTATCATTAAACAGGTCACAGGATACTACATAGAACTGCAGAGAAAATTCAAAAGCGAAAGGAGAGAGAACAGGAAGTCTTATTTTCCAAGTTAGTAAAAATGATTGAGAAATTCTTACTACCCTAAGATAAGGATACTTCTAGCTCACAGGACATATGTTGATTTTCTAAAAGACTTTCCTTGGTATTAAGGATAGATATCACAACAACAGCATCTCTCTGGTGCATCTGGGGATGTAACCCAGGGTAGATCATTTACCTGGGATGGATCCCAGCAAGGCAAAGGAAAGATACATTTCTAGATACGTTTCTAAGATTTCTGGAGTCCCCACATTTGGTCTTAATAACTGTGTATGTCAGAGGAAGGGAATGAGGGAGTGCAGTGGTTTTGAACAGCAGATTGAGAGGCAAGGTCTTCTGACCAGCACCCAGCCCATACTTTGCTTTGCAAACATAATTCCAGGCTCACTAAGCCAGTTCTAAGCTATGCATAGGGTGTGGAGGGCATTGTGTGTTTGCCTGCGCTTACCGACACAAGTGCCGTGCTTTCGCCCAAGGTGGGGTGTTTATAGCTCTTCCTCTCAGAGATAAACAATAACGAGTCAATCATAAACATAAGTTCTTGCTTCTGCCAGCCACTGTCTTCTGTCCTGAGTAACTCACTCTCTGTGCATGGAGAACTAACTTGTAGCAGCTGACTTCCCAAATAGGCTGTCCTAACTACTGTCAGTGATACTGACGCTGTCCCTATGCCTGATGCGGCTTGCAAGGGGAATTATGCTTCTGTGTATCATTCATTTTCGTGTGCTCATAAACCAGCAGCCTGCCCGGCACACAGAAGATTATTCATAGCTAATTGTTGATTCGGTAGATGAACAACCTCTCTAGACAGTGAGGACTGAAGTAAGCCTCCGCATCACAGTGGTCGGGGAGAAGGCAAATTGGGGACCGGATCCAGCAGCCCAGCCTACCCCTTCCTTGCCACAGTCCAGCTTGCAATCAGGCTATGTGAGCCGGTCTGGGTCTCCGTGCACAGGAAAAGGCATTGCTGGCAGCACCCTGATCAAACCAGAAAAACAGCCCTCCTCTGCTCTGGAGCCCAAGGCAGGAATGTCCCACCAGTATCTACCTTTCCGGAGTAAGGGTCAACTCTCCAAGGCTAGAGAGCCTCCACTGGCTGCCTTTGCCCCTTCCCTCCAGGCCAGTAACCGCAGGTATATCTGGCGCCGCCCACCGGAGGTCTACCTGCCACGCCAGATGGGTGGAGTGTGAACTGCGTCGGACTCTCCTTGTCCTGGACTCTGCACCCTTAGGTGCCTGGGTCTTGCCTCTCGGCAGAGCCTCTGTCCTGAGTTGCCATGGAAGGGGCCAGAGCCCCAGCGCCCCAGGAAGAGCTGGAGCTGTCGATCCTGGAAGAGGAGACGCCTCTCAACAGCCTCCAGATCCAGCCTTGCTCAGCTGAGAACCCTACCTCGGTCCAGGTAAAGTCTTGGGACTCAGACGTGTCCCAGGAAAGTGGCCTGACACTGCTTAAGGGCGCTAGGGATCCTTTCCAGCGCCCAGGACACACAAAGAGGAGCCAGGAGAAAGAAGGCAAGAATGCCTTAGGCAGACCCCTCCACTACTGAGACCTCACCTAGAGACACTTCAGGAACCATGGAGTGGGGCGTGGCTGCTCCTTTCAAGGGAGAGAGACGCCTTGGAGGTACAGGTGGTGTTTGAAAGTTAGGTGGTTTTTTAAATTTGTTTTTTTCTTAAAAAGAAAGCGGTGGGTAGAAAGGTATTCACTCTCTTTACCCCCTTTCCCCTCTCTGTCTCTTCCACTTTCTCCCTCAGCACACCACTGGCGGCTTTCAGTCCACTACCTTCTGTCTCTAACAGTTCTGTGTCCCCGCCCTCCCCCACCTTCAAACACGTTCCATGTCCTCGCCCTCCCCGACCTTCAAACACGCATTTTCGTCTACTTTGGTCAGTGCTTCTTCCTCCAGCACAGAGATAGGCGAAGAACACAGGAGGGAAAGTACTGAGGCCAGACTGAGGGTTGGCCCTGGTGACTTTACAGACTCAGAAGAAAGCAAATAATACTAAAGTTCTACCTAAGGACTAGCCTTGCTGTCTTTTCATCTCTGAGAAAGTCCTTGGGGTGTGTAGGTTAAACTCTTTGCTGATTCAGTCATGGCAGTGGCTGAACTTTATCCACAGATCAAATGCTTGTGAAAGATCCGAGAGCTTGAATTCTGAGCCACTGTCTTCTGATTAACTCCCAAGGTTACTAGGTTTACTAGGCACACTCTTTGGATGCATCGTTTTAGTCTGGGTCTTCTCACCCTGCATCTCTCTTGTGCCCAAGTGCTGATTTTAGTAGAAAATTCAAAGCTTGAAAACATTACTCTTGGTCCACACTGATTATTGGAGACAGTGTGGCAATATCTTATTTCATAAGTACCTTGGGGAATAAGTTGGCACCTTAGGTTTATATGAAATGGGTCCACAGATAAGTGAAGTTTGGAAAATATGGCTGAAGGCTAGTGCAGGTAGCCATATCCAGGAACTTTCTGTGTGATTCTCCAGGGCAGGATGTGGCCATGGGAATTAGAACTAATTGCCTCAGGCCCAGCACATCCCCAAAGTTTCAGACATTCTCCAGGAAGAGAAAAAAGGTGGAACAAGGCTGTGAGATGATGTAACATTATATATATATGCTCCATTTAGGCTTCTGGGAGCCCTGAACTGCCTGTGGACAACAGTTGAGGACATGCCAAATCCATGCTGAGTATCAGAATTTTACAATTGCTTAGCACCTGCCTTGTAGAGAGTGTGCTTTCCTATCCTGGTGACTTCCTTGTTAGTCAGATGTATACAAACATGCCAGACTTCCTTGTGATATAGCATTGTAGGTCACTAAGAAGTAAAGTTTCAGTGACTGATGGAGTGGGGGTGAAAGGCTCCATGAGATCCCTCAGAGCCTTCTAGAAATACATGAATGGTGACATTTTATTTTATTTTATTTTTTCGAGACAGGGTTTCTCTGTATTGTTTTGGATCCTGTTCTGGAACTAGCTCTGTAGACCAGGCTGGCCTCGAACTCATAGAGATTCACCTGTCTCTGCCCCCACGAGTGCTGGGATTAAAGGCATGCACCACCAACGCCCGGCCGGAATGGTGATATTTTAATAAGGAGACAATGGACAGAAATCTCAATCCCCCACCCCTATGTGTTAGTCACCCTCTGATTCTACAGAGGTGGAAATTAATTTCAACATGAATGGTCAGTTAATGTTGTTCAATAAGGATTAGTTTGCACAAGCCCAGGTTTCAGATGCTTAAGATTTTTGTGTCAAGGTCTTAAGTTGTGTGATGATAGCTCTGACTTTGATGATTGTTTAAGTCCATATACTTTCTATGCCATATGTTTTGTACCTATCTTATGTAAAATACTGCAGCACACAAATGTAGTAATTATTTTCAACGTAGAAGGAGGTTGTCCTACTTAGCATCAACCATCAACTTGAGACAACCTAAAATCACCTGAGAGTCTCAGTTGAGAAACTCTATCGGATTGGCATGTGATATGTGTGTGAGGGATTGTCTTGATTGTCAACTGATATGGGAGGGTCCAGGCCACTATGGGGCTACCATGCCCAGGGAGGTAAGGTAGTCTTGGGCTATACAAAAGCTGGTTAAGCATGAGCCAGTGTGGGGGCTGGCCAGCAGCATTCCTGCCGGCTTCCCTCAATGATGGCCTATGGCCCTACGAGTGCAAGCCAAATTAAACCCTTCCTTCTTCCTCTAAGTTGCTTTTGCTCGGGGTGTTTTTATCACAGTGACAGAAATAAAACAGGAGGGGAAGAGCTGGTTTTCTGGTTTGACAGATGAAAGAACTGAGTGAAGAAACTTAGGCCCAGAGATGCAACCAAGCTGTTCAGGCTTACTTAGTGGGACCCCTTAAAATCTGGACTCAGAACTCCAAAGTCTCAGGTCGGTGCTGTCAATCAGTTTTAAGAAAACATTACATTTATTTCCTTTATGTGAATGTGTGTGTACATGTGCCATGGTGTACATATGGAAAACAGAGGATGACTTTTTGGAGTTAATTTTTTTCCCTCCTACCATGTGTGATCCCAGGGATCAAACTAAGGGTGTCAGGCTTGGCTGCAAGGACCTTTATCTGCTGAACTGTCTTGTTGGCCCCTGTTAATTGATCTTATGGTGCATAGATAAATACATATGACTTGATTTATATCATTTCATCTATAGTTGCCTCAATTACAAATTATGTATTACTAATAGATATGTAATATATCTATTACTAATAGTTATGTAATATATGTATTTTTAAATGACGTGAGAACCGGAGTGGCAGATCTTGCTGATGAAGGGAATTGTAGGTGGATGGGTGAATGGATGATGAGCAGGGACTAGTACTGAGGCCATAAGCATCCCATTAGTGTAGGTGTCTTCCTGTTTGGAAAAGTTGAGCTTAGGAGAGTATGTGAAGAATTTCTCTCCCTTACTTAATCAGGATTTGGAATGTAGAGGAAAAGGAATATAAGCCATTGAACTCCAAGTTGTCTGCTGTTACCACAGGTTAATACCCTTGAGCAAAAAATACAAAAGAAATTGTAGGTGATAAGGTGAGATTTGATTTCTTTTATGGCTAGCTACAAGATCCCTGATTCAGCAGTTCTCAGATGTCTTAAGTGATGGCATCATCATTGTATTAACAATAAACAAGTAAATGGAGTGTTCTGTGGTAATCAAGGCTTATTTGAACTAACAAATTAGCCCTATTGCTGTGCATTACTCAATCCAGTACAAGAATCAACTGTCTCTTTGTGTTTGGATAAAGTGTATGTTTAGATCAAATGCCACAGTGAGTGAAGAAATGGAAGTACAGATTCTCCTGTGTACCAACAGGTTTATTCCTAGTCTTTATAATAACTGCTATTAATTGAGCCAAGAAGAAGAAAAACTCTTTGGACCAGAGATAGGTAGTCCCGCCAATGTGTCCATATCCTGTATGATATGGGGAGGTGGTGGATCTCTTGTACAGTATTCAGAGAAAAGCCTTAAATTCCATAGCCATTTAATGCAATCGCCAAATGTAAGGTGGAGCTTGCAAGTGTATATAGAAGACACCTTGTGGAAAACTTGCCTGAGGCCTCCCAATAGATCACCAAATTAGATCCAACTAACCTTAACAGCAATGAAACCCTTAGTTGTTGAACCTGAGCAATCACTCTAGGCTCATGTGTTGAAGGTTTGGTTTCCAAATTCAGCAAGGTACAGTGATGGACCTTTAGTAAGGTAAGTGGATCTTCAGCGTTTTGACTTTACTTATGTATGGCCTTGTCCATTGCTCAATTCATAATTTGAGGTCATGATTGGAAAATACTGGATACTTTAGGAGGTAGAGCCTACTTGGAGAAAGTATTCTCTGGGGTATGTCATGGAAGGTTGTATTTTGTGTTCAATTCCTTTGACATTTTCTCTCATTGCTTATTGATTGCTATGAGGTGCCTCACATTCCCATTGCTGCGATGTGCTGTCATGGAGTTAGCTGCCATGGATCCAAACCATGAAAACCAAATATTAAACCAGAGCCCAAATACATCTTTGAGCTGACTTTTCTCGGGCATTGTGGTACAGCAAGGGAAAGCTAACATACAAGTGCTTTGCAGTGAGCAGGTTTTTACTCTCTAACCTCAGTTTCATGACTTTGTGACATTTCATCCCAAGCCTTAGGTTGTACCTTTGGCCAAGTCTGTTATGAATCACCAGGTACTGGCTGCTGGGTTTTTTCTTTTCTCTTCTTCTTCTCATTCTCCTGTTTTTGTTTTTTTGACACAGGGTTTCTCTGTGTAGCTTTGGAGCATTTGGAGCCTGTTCCAGTACTCAGTAGAGCTAGTAGACCAGGCTGTTCTTGAACTCACAGAAATCCACCTGCCTCTACCTCCCTAGTGCTGGCATTAAAGGCATGCACCGCCACCACCTGGTGGTTCCTGGGTTCTTAGTACCTTCAAAAACCCTTCCTTCCATACGCAATGAGAAATATCACGTTCTCACTTGTGTGCTGGAGTTTAAAATGTTGATCTTACAGAAGCAGAGACCAGAAGTGTCATGTTCACAGCCAGGGACAGTAATAGGGAATGGAGGGATGGGAAGCAGGTGATCAATAGATAGAGAGGCACTGTTAGACAGAGGAGATACCTCACAGTGTTCTGTAGCACAGCAGAGCAATGATGGGTGACAATGAATTGTACATTTTAAAACAGCTAGTTGAGAGGAGTTCCTAACATGAAATGATAAACATTGGAGGTGGTGGATCTACCATCGATGGCACATGGGTTTGGCAATATCTCAGAGAACTCCATAAATATATACAGTTTTCATGTTAGTTAGAAACAATGCAAACCGGGTGGTGGTAGCATATGCCTTTAATATCGCATTTGGTAGGCAGACAGAGGCAAGTGGATCTCTGAGTTTGAGGCCAGACTGACCTACAAAGTGAGTTCCAGGACTACCAGGGCTGTTACACAGAGAACACTTGTCTCAGAAAAATAAATAAAAAAGCAAGAAAATGAAAGAAAAGAAATAAGTACAAAATTTTAAAACTCCAAGAATAAAAACCCTGCCTCCTGTCTCCATGTCAGAACCCCCAGAGGGACTTTGGCTTTCCTCTCTTGAGGCCCCATTGCAAGTTTGATTCAGTGTAGTGTGTCCTCTTGAAGGGCCCGGTGACTTTAAATCTGCATCACTGCTCTCTAGTAGGACTTTGAGACAATTTGTTGAAACCCAATGACTACCTCACAATCTCCCTTTGCTTTCTAGATGAAAAAAGAAAGTCCCTGGAGTCCCTGTAACAAGACCGTGGTTGGAAAATGTAAACTGTGGATGGCCATTGTCACCATTTTCCTGTGTTTCACTATAGTGATCATTATAAGTTTATGCCTTGTAGGAGGTAAGGAGTCCATTGACCATGTTGACATATTTGAAGACCTTGTCGAATGCTTGCGACTTACACTGAAATGAAAAATGTGCTCACTGCTATTATACTATTTGTAACATGAACTGAAATATGGCTTGGGCAGCTGAGCATGATGATTTATCCCTGTAATCCCTCCCAGTCCTTGAGAGGCTAAGGTGAGAAGGCATCTTTAATTAAAGACTAGCTTGGGCTATATTGTGAGCATGAGGTCAACAAGGGGATACAAGTGAGACCTTGTTTCATAAAACAAAACAGAAGCGAAAATCAAATACAACAAAACTAGCTTGGAATATGTTGTATGAGATATACACAAATCTCCCCACTCCTGTGTGTGGGGGGGCGGAGAGAGGGAGAGGAGAGGAGAGGAGAGAGAGAGAGAGAGAGAGAGAGAGAGAGAGATGTTGATATGTGCACATGAGTGTAGGTGCTGCAGGAGTCCAGGAACTTAGAGACAGGCTGTGAGCTGCCCTGTGTGGGTGCTGAAAATTGAACATGAGTCTTTGAAAGAGCTCTAAGGGCTCTTAACCCTTGGCCATCTTTCTGCTGCTTAAAATTTGTGAACTTGAACACTAATCCACATTTTATTACATTTTAATGCCTGCTTGCTAGAAATTCCTTATAATTTTTTCAAGAAAAATCATTTATTATATTTGGTACCAAATGATAAAATAATAATATATTTGAGAAAGTTTTAAAAGAACTTTAATGAGATATGTGGCAATAAGCCAGTGTTTCTCAACATGTAGGTTGTTACCCGTGACTCCTTGCGGGGGTTGCAGATCAGACATCCTGCATACCAGATATTTACATTATGATTCATAACAGTAGCAAAATTACAGTTACAAAGTAGCAAGAAAATAATTTCATGGTTGGGGTCACAACATGAATAACTGTATTAAAGGGTCATAGCATTAGGAAGGTTGAGAGCCACTTATTGAATAAGCTGTCACTGTTTTAGCTTATTTTATAAGTAACTATTAAATTTGCATTGAATATTTCCATGAAGCAAACATTTGTATAACACTAACAATATGCTTTATATATATATTATCTCACTCTATGGCTGTGTGTTTTGAATTAAAAGCAATACAGTGTTAGCTGTCCCCTCCCATATTGTTAGTAGTTTGTCACATGTTCTTCTCTTTTTCTTACTTGCATTTTTAACTGGAGATCATATTTTTACATTCTATCCCATCTTCATGATTTTAATGTTTTATTAAGATAATTTTACCAGGTCATTAAAATCTTTGTAAACAATATACACGGTCTATGTATTGGTTACAACATAGTCTTCTATACAGTGATGATAGTGTGTATATCTTCTACAGCATTTTAAAGCCTTTAAGTTGTTACTATTTTAGGAATTATTCCCTGTATTTTTCAAAGTTTTATGATGCACAAAGATACTATACTCCATGAGGTAAATAATTTTTACATCAAAATAAGTGGGGGATGGGGGAATTGTTTTATTGGTACATGGCAGTGGTCAGGTGGGAAGTGTTCATCCAGAGCTGCGGTTCTCCTAAGGTGATGTGACCCAAGAGGTCTGAGTCAGGTTCTTAGGAGCAAATGTGGTTACAGAAACATATCACAAGGTCAGGGAGCTCTGAGTCTCTCCAAAGGGATTCTTGGGCACTTTTTTTTTTTTTTTCAGGAAGCCAATTTGACAGTTTCTTCCTTCATTGTGATAGCCCCTGGAAGCTTCCACAGCCTTTGAGTTTCTCAGATAAGCACTCCAGTCTTAGCTGATGTGGGTTAGGTAGGATGGGTGATTTCCTGAGGCTGTGAGCTTCAGTTAGGCAGGGAGCATCTCTGAGGTGTGATGGCACCTCTTCCACCATGCTGAGGACGATGGCTTTGTTATGACCATCCTCACTGTCTTCACATCAGCTGCTACAGATAGACACTGAAACCAGAGCTGAGTCACAGTCTCCTCCCATCTCCAGTGTCTGGTGCAATCCTGAAAGTTGACTGATTTGCCTGGTAGCAAGCAAAGAGCCAATCATGAAGCAGGTGGTTTAATATTCAGGACTTGAAACATAAGACTGGATGTCTGTCTTTTCTCTAGAAATCACCCTACTTCAACTAAAAATCAACCCTACAAAAAGCCATCTGCAGAGAGTTATTCAGTTTCACTCAAAAGGTTTTGGGGAGATGTGAAACACTGTACTTGAAAGTACAAAATAACTTTTTAATATTATAGGACAAACTTTAATTTGATTACAAATTTGCATTTTAACATGTTAATATTATAAAAGATATCTGTAAAATAAATCTATTTTTCCTCTCTGGGAAGTAGTTATTTTGTTTGGAATCTTGCATGTCTAGGGCTTTCAGGGAAAATCATGATAGACCAAAGAAATGGAAACAACTTAAAGACCTTAGATTTGAAAATAGCTTGTTTTATGTCCACTTAACACAAGCTAGAGTCACTGAAGAAGAGAGAGCCTCAATTGAGAAAATGTCTCCATAAGATCACGCAGTAGGCAAATCTGCAGGGCATTTCTTAATTAGAATTGATGGGGAAGGGCCCAGAAGAAAGCAGGCTGAGCAAGCCATGGGGAACAAGCCAGTAAGCAGCATTTCTCCATGGCCTCTGCTCCTGCTGCCAGGCTCCTGCTGCCTGCCTGAGTTCCTGTCTTGACTTCCTTCAATGATGAACAGTGATGTGGAGGCATAAGCAAAAGCCCCAAACCAAACCAACCAACCAACCAACCAACCAACCAACCAACCAAACAAACAAACACAAAACCCAAACAACCCCCCTCCCAAAAAAGCCTTTTGGTATGCTGTTTCATCACAACAATAGTAACTCTAATGAAGATGGTAACATATATCAGTAATAGTTTGTTATGTTTCCTAATCTCTGATTTGCATTTTGAAATAATTTGAGATCAGTTTTTAAGATTAGCTTTTCTTGAAGGTCTTAACATCGTTTTGCTAAATCACTAAAAATTCATGGAAGAATCTTAGTTAGGTAATAGATTAAAATAGATGAAAAAGATTAAATAGATTGAATAGGAGCCAGATTGAATAGATTATAAAGGATGGAGACAGCAGGCTGCCCTGTGTGTGTGTATGATCATTCCAGCCCCACCCAGGGTTGCTCTGCTAGTAGTTCTGGGATGGCAATTGGCAAGCATCAGCCACTGCCCAGTTGCCCAGCCCATTGATATGAATCACATATTTGCAGAACTTGAGGTACTGTGTGGGAAACAGAGAAAAGAGTGGTGTTGGGAGAGCCAGCGGTCAAGATTTACTGAGATAAAATGTCCCTCAGGATCCATATTGCCCTGTTCTGTCCCACCTTTCCTCTCTCAAATCTCTGAAACTCCAATCAAAAGGCTCTTTAGTTGCCCAACAAGCTGGACATTGAGATGGAACTAATTATACAGTTGAAGTGATGGATAATTCAGAGTCACAACTCAGCTTCAAGAGTGGTGTACTGGCTGTGTACACAATAGGGATAAGAGGCCATCATGCCACAAGATTCAACTGACATTGATTTTTTTTTTAATTGACAACTTTATGGGCAGGGTCTAGTGAAGGTTGTTGAATTTGGAGAACTGATTGTTCAGCTCTGCAGAGAATTCTATTAATGAACTATATTCCTTCTCCCCGAAAAATTATAAAATCTTTTGTGTGAAGGCTTTTAAAGGGGGTGTCTTAAGCACTATTCTATGCTGTAAAGAGGCACCATAACCAAGGCAACTCTTATAAGAGAAAGCATTTAATTGGGGGCTTGCTTATAGTTTCAAGATTTAGTCCTTTATCATCATGGTGAGGATCATAGCAGCATTCAGGCTGGCATGTTGCAGGAGGAGTAGTTGAGAGCTATATCCTGATCTGCTGGCAGAGAGAGAGAAAGAGAGGGAGAGGGAGATGGCTGGGGAGCGAAATGGAGAGAGACTAGGCCTGGCAGGGACTTTTGAAATCTCAAATCCTACCCCCACTGACACACCCACTTCAAGAAGGCCACACCCACTCCAAAAGGCCACACCCCCTACTCCCAAAAAGTTCAACTGGATACTAGACATAGAAATATATAAGCCTATGGGGGCCATTCTCTTTCAAACCACCACACACACAGGACAGGGGGATATCTTCTTTCCTTCAGAGTCATTTTCTTTGTAGATAATTTGGAGAACCACTCAGGCTTCTTCACGGGATCCTTTCACTCGGGTACCCTGGTTAGAAAAGAGTAACCATGCACTGAGAAACTCCTCGTGACAAACAGGTGAATGCTTAAACATGATGTAGAGTTAGAGAACTCTGAATGACTCCCACATGCCCCCCCCAGCGTTACAGCTGACCCCCTCTTAGTTCATAGTGCCTTTTGTAGGAAGGAATGCTGTGACATGATTGAAGTAGGGACTTCCAAAGCGATGCAGCATTGACTGGATTACTCCACTCTTCAATAGAGGGTGAGACTTTCATCTTTTGGCGTCCCATGAAGCTAGCAGACTGTTTTCACAGGGAGATACTTCCTGGTTTGGGTGACTCATGGGGAAATCCTTGGCAGACACCATGAACAGCTGTAACCCTGCACAGGTCCTTCAGGGCAGGAGCTGAACTGCTGTTCCCTAGATCCAGTTTCTTAAAGTTGCCTCACATTTTCACCTGTAGTCTTTTCAGCACATCTTTGAGAATTTTCCACCTTCCCAAGACTCAATTCTTCCTTGTGTTCCCTACACAATATCATAAGCATCCCACGGTTCTTCTAAGTTCTCCTTCATGGGATTTGCCATGTTATGGAGGTATTGCTTTCTCTCTCTGCTTTTACTGAAAAACTTAGAGGTGAGTCTGCTTTTGGATCTTGCTCTGAATATATCTAGACCTCTCGTATCTGTTGACGGAAGTTTTATTGGACCCAGGTGACTAGCAATTATTTGATGGTGAAGTCTGACCTTTATCCTCCTTTGGTCCTGTTTGTAGCTGTCATCTTTGTTAGTTATGCTGTACTCCCTGAGTCT